CCTTTAGTTGATGCATCTACAAGTCATGGTACAACAGTGAGTGTCTACAGCTATCTGTAAGACACGGGCGGAGCTCTGCCATGGATTGCAGCTGCATTTCAGTCAGTGGTGCTGGACATCTTGTCAAAATTGATGAAATTAAGAACGCAAAAGTATCTTCGGATTTTGATTTTATTGCCAACAGCTTAATTTTTCCATCTTGACAGTTTTACTCGATAGAAGAAAGAAAAAAACAAAACAAAAAACACACATTGTGGAAAACTATCAGTCATGGATTGGTCTCCCCAGAGCCCTGACATCACCATTATTAAAGCATGTGAGATTATGTTGACAGAGAACGGAAGAAAAAGCAACAGACATCGAAAGAGGAGCTTCAGAGTTCAGGCCGTACTGAAGAATAAAGGTGGTCATAGCAGATAGACTTTCAAGCTCAATACAACTGTACAAACACAGTTTTTTGCTTTTTATACTGTGCAGCTCTGCAGATGTTTCAATAAACTGCTCCACCTATTTCCAGTTTTCCCAGAAGAATACAAAGATATGGTGGGTGGCTAGAGACTTCAGCACAGTGCTGCATGTTAAATGTAGGGAGATGTGTATATTCATTTAACTGAGGGTCTGTGTTGTATATCAGCAGGCTTCTCCGGAGAAACATTATCCTCCACAGCTGACTGCAGCTATTGCTCTTACAAATATGATGGAGGTGTCATTGGTGCTTATGAAGATAAATGGTCAGAAAATATTACAGCCTTAGCAAGAGGAGGTAAAATGAACTATTATTAAGCCAAGCATAAGGGGGGGGGGATTACAATTACGCTGAAGAGAAACCTTTCCATGAGTGTGTCTAATTGTTTAATGGGTTACTACCCACCAAACTGCAGCAGTAAGCAGAGAAGATGGTTAAATACAATGAACAATGATCTGGACACGGAGTCTGTTTCCTGTCTACGGCCTGTCATCACCCATCTGTGTGACAACATATGACTGCTCTTGTCTTATCATCTGACAGGCCTGCATGCTGGCCAGAGACATGTTGAAAGGGGCTAATGTTATCACAAAGCAATGGTGGCATAACTCTGTGGAGAAGCTGTGATAATGAAAGAGAGTGCAGATGTGCATGATAGCACACATAAAAGGCAGAAGGAGATGTGAGGACATCAAGTGAAAACAAGTGACACGTCTGCTTTCCTTCACGTCATGCGGCCTAGTCAGGTTGAAGCCAGTGTCGTAGCTCAGTAGAATTCACATTCACAGATTATCCTCCACCTACTCTCTCACTCATTGTAGGGAACCCCTTCCCTTAAGGCATTTCATCCATGCTAACAACAATTCGTGAATTATCCGGTCTCATCCCTCCTGAATGCCCAAAGCCCATCACTTGATCCCCATGTGCTCTGTTGCTCCAGCATACTCAGACATCCAGGAATTCAAAACCAGTGAGGCACAAACCAAAGTTTCAGCATGTGGAAAATACACAACTTACTGTTTCCCTAAGCTTTGATAAGCACAAGAGAGCAACAAGCCTAGCTTGCTGCTCCCAAAATACACTGGGCGTAATATTAAATATTACGCCCAGGAATATGTTGCAGCTGACACTTACCAGTTAGACGCTGTAGCCAAGTCGATCGCTCCTCGCTCAGGACTGACAGAGTGCTCTTTGTTGGTTGTTTGGTGATGATCGGTCCTCCCTCAAATAAACCAGCAACAGGAGCCTTATATTACATCCATGTGATGTCACAGCACATTTGACTAATAAGATCAGGGGGCGCTTGGACTTGTAGATTTATTTTTTGCTGTCTTGGAGATGTAAAATTAAATATCTCTAACACTGTTTGGACACACGGTTTATGAAGAACAGAAATAGTCGATCAGAAACAGAAATCATCAATCATCACTGGGGGAGGGCAGTCAGCAGCACAGTGTAATTGCAACAATGGATATGTATATTCAATGGCCACTTCATTAGGTATGCCTGTTCAGCGAAAACATCTAACCAGCAAATCACATGACTTGCAGACATGACATGCTGAAGTTTGAACTGAGCATCAGAATCAGGAAGAAAGGTGATTTAAGCGACTTTAGAGGTGATATTGTTGTTGGTGCCAGAGTTTCAAAAACTCAGTTGTCTGGTTCAAAATGCCTTGTTGATGTCAGAGGACACGGTAAATCAATTAACCACTGGTTGCAACCAAAGTATAACTTCAACCAGTGGAAGTCCACACCAGGTGTAACTCCTGCCAACTAAGAAGAGGAGACTGAGCCCTCGATTATTTTATGAGCACAGTGGATAACGTGTCATGTCACAAAGCTCAAACTGACTTCTTAAACATGACAGTGAGTTCACTGTACTCACATGGCCTTCACAGTCACCAGATCTTAATCCAATAGAGCACTTTGGGATGTGATGCAACAGGAGAGTCAATATGCACCAAAATCTCGGAGAAATGTTTCGAGCATTTTGTAGAATTAAGACAACCTGTGGGGGGAGGGGCCACCCTGGTGCTAGCATGGTGTCACTAATAAAGTGGCCAGTTTGTGTATATTTGAAAACAACAGCTTCAGTGGAAATGACAAATACAAGTAGATGAGAACAAAGACATAAGACACAAGGCAGACAAGCCCCACTAGCAAATATAGAAAATGACTTAGTTTGTTTTTGCTTCAATATGAATCTGTGTGATCAGGGTGAAACACAGGCCTACTGTAGGACACAGGCAGGACTGTTGCTATTTTACTCACTTCAACCCACTTGGAGGGTGATTACGTTTGCTAACTGTGTTAAAGTCCAACCAATTGAGGCTGTAGATTAAACGTGTAATGCTGTTGGGTTTTTAAACAATTTCCTTTTAGATTTAATTCCAAATCCTTGCATGTATTTTTCTTTAATTGTTTACCTTTTTGTCCGTGTCTTCTGTGTTTCCTCGCGTCTTCCTCTGTTTGTCGTGTCTTAATTATGGCCGCTTCCCCTTTTAATTTGGTGATTGCTTTTCCTTGTGCGCTTATTTCCTCCTGCTTTCGAATACATTTCTTGAGTTTGGTTTAGTTTAGTTTTATTCCCCTCCTTCTGCTAGATAAAAAAAAAAGTTGATTCGTGTTTTTATTTGTGTTAACATTTTTTATAATTTAAATAAATTAAAAAAAATATGTATGTGTGTGTGTGTGTGTGTGTGTGTGTGTGGGGGGGGGGGGATCTGAACTTCCTCGGACTCTTACCCAAGTGTTACGAGCTTAGCATTTTTTTACACCTCTGTCCAGCAGTTAAGAAAAGCAGGGTTGTTGTTTTTTTTATGTTGTGTCTGGGATAAACCGTGAGCATTTGTATGCCCAGGGGAGTGGGATATTATCTGAAAACAGCTCTGGCCATTTCTTTTGTTTGCGCTTGGTTACTGGAGTAACGTCCCAAACAGGATGTGTCCTCAGATAATAAAACAAAAGTGGAGGTGCTGCAGCCAAGAATTCACCGGCAGACGAAGGGGAAGAGGGGCCCGTCCACACCCACCGGCCGCTTACTGAAAGCTACTGTGCCGACAGACAGGCAGCCAGTGTTCTTATAAGCCGGTGTGTTTGAGTTTATAAAGGTCACTTTGAATCTAATCTCTAAAAAAAACAAAAACAATCTGTTACTAGTTTAGCGCGATGTTTAACTCGAAGCAGGCTTTTTTTTTTTTTAGCAGATTAATGCGCCTGTTTACAACTGTTTAACAGGTTACATCAGGGGACTAGTCATTCATTTCACATCCGTTGACAAACTAGTCCAAGTAGAAATGGGTTTTATTCACACACATACATACACACACACGCGATATAAAACTGCAGCTTAGCCACCTCACTTCCTCATCACACGCTATTCTGTGCACAAGAGCAGCATTCATACACACGGTCACGCAGGCCTGCAGAAACAGGAGTCTGTAAGTTAACTCATGCACTGATGTCATGCAAACACTGACGGGAAGCCAGATGTTATATAACCTGGCTGTTAGAAAATATTTCCTCTGCCAAAGCGTACAGATGAGGGCACAATCATGATGTAATGTCAGGGCGCACACTCCATCACAGTGGATTCGTGTATTTCGTTATTATGTCTGAATATCTGTGCCGGACAGTTCGAACATTCATGAAGATTATTCTAGCTGTTTGTGTTCACCAAAACATTTCAAAGACTAAAACCTTTTATTTATTACAAGTTCATTTGCTATCCATCCACATTGTTTGTAATTTGAACATGGAAAAAAAAAATAGAGATACTGACTGGGCACGACAGAGAAAAAATGAGTTGTAAAAATGCAAGGAAACGGAAATAATCGCAAAACAATAAAATACAAAAGAAAAAAAAAACATTTTGGTTTTTAAATGCAAAAGATCGTGGAATAAAAACTTATTCCACAGGTACGTGTTGTTTTGAATCTGTAAATTAAGTTGGATTAAGTTACCCAGTCAGGGTTACCATAGCTGATAATCATGTATATTATGGCTCAAAATGTTATATTTTTCCTCCAAGGAACCACTTTGCTGTATTGTTTTGAAAGTGGTCTTGAGAACAACTTGGTGAAAAAATGATTTTCAATTGTATTTTTGGCAGTTTATTACTAGCAGCTTGGCACAAAAACAGCAAATTTGTTCCCACTTTAGTTGAATCTATGAAAAATGTCAGACACATAGACAAGTCTTTTCACACAAAGATGACTTGGTATGATAAGAAAGGTGTTCATACCAAGTATTAACTTTAAAGCTGGTTAGAATTATTCAAACTCCATTTTTGCTTTATAGACTGTATTTCCATGTGTGTTATTTTGTATTGTTGTTGTATGTTATTTTTCCATTTACTTTATCTTCATGAACCAGTTCTTAACTGTTGGGGGCTCAGTTTTGAGACGACTGTGATTCCTGTCGGTCCCCTCTGGCATTTGACCCCGAATTGCAACGTTTGGATCTTTTACGAAATCCTGAGTAACTCTTCAGTTTTGAAAGAATTATGCTCAGAGAGGGAAGAGCAAAAGCAATTATGTAAAAGAAATGTTTATTTCCATAATTAACACATACAGTACAGTATCTTTACCAACATAAAAAGTGCAATATGCATTCAAACTACAGCAATGTACAGTACAAAAATTACTGCATACTTAAATATAAAAAGAAAATGGTTACCAAACCATGAAGTAACCTACTGTGATCGCTGTCACGTCAGTGTGACAAAAGCTTCAGAACTCATTAATGATATGAGTGTAAAAGCTTAACAGCTATGAGCCCGGTGACTCCAACGAGTCTCTTTTGTTTCTCCCAAAAGGTGCAAAACAGATGTGACAGCATTTAAATATGTACGTGATTGACGTTATGATTCACATGTTTTATACAGCTTCAACGGCATTTCCTATTTAAGACAGCCAAAATTAAAAAACTTAAAAAAACAAAAAAAACAAAAACACTTTGGTCTTTCACATTGAAAAAAAAAAAAAAAAAGTAAAAAAATGTTGTGAGCTAAAAATGTTGGCAACCCTTAAATAATTTTAAGGTAAAGAATGTTGTAATGTTTTCTGTTGTTTTGTCAAGAATGTTCAGCTAACTTTAGCTGTCATAAATCCCCAGTTTCTGTCACGCTTTATGATTTTCAGCCATGTAGTGTGACTCCACACTCCGCTCTCCAAGAACAGTGAACATTGTAGGGAATGATGAGGTCAATAACATTACTCCAATGTTATTTTGGAAGATAGCTTGTTGTGTACCAGTATTCACTCAATAAAAAAGCAGTGCAAAGGAACAACAAACTCAGAAATGTTTCTGTTTGTTGAGAACAGTGAGCGTGCCTCTGGCAAAAAGTTACCTCTCCTCTCTACTCTCATCCCATTCACTCACTCAGGGACTAACACATAGTAAATGCATTAAAATGGATTTAAAAACCAAACTGATTTCCTCACTTTAACTAGACATCAGCAACTGAACTGACTTGAACTCTTGGTTGGCGTTCATGTGAGCAAAAGCTCCATGAACACAACATGAGGTAACCATTAATTTTACAACCCGCTAGCATCTTAAACATAAACCGTGTGGTAAACAACTATGTTTATTCAACAGTTTGCTTTATGTGAAGCTCTTTGAGGGAATCAAGTTCATCAATGTAGGCTACCACTTTGTACCCGACAGATAAAAATAAGATAAGTGCCAGTGGACACCAAATTAAAGGTTACAGATCACCGTACCGTCTCGTTCTGCGGACGAACACACAGCTCTGTGCCTCTGGTCTCGTAGGTAAGGCACTTGTTTGTCCATAAATCAAACAACTTAGAGGTGAACTGATGGCTTTACACACTTCTCAGATACAGCAATATGACTTTCATCACTGTGAACAGCAGTTTGAGAAACAATGTGGCAAAGGAGAGCATACACTCCTTATAACAACAGTTGGCTTTCTTTTTATTTTCTCAGACTCGACCCTTTCCCGTTTCCAGAATCTGTACAACCTTCTTCAGCCCCGCAGGGTGACAGAAGAGGGGATGAGTGGACCGTATACAGCCTCCACTTGATTTGTCAGCTTCTAGGTTCACCTGGTCGTGCCCTCTCTGGAGTGTGCAAGTCCTTGCGGGGCCGGGATAGCGCAGAGGTGGTCGGGGAGTCCCAGTCCAAGCTGGGGTCTGGCTCTGGCGACAGTGAGAGGAGCAGGAGTGTTCCTGCATCTGAGGAGCAGACTGAACACAGGTCCTCGGAGGACAAGTTGAGGCTGCCCAACTTGGCCAGCGAGTTGGACCGCTTCAGCCTCGAGGGCACAGTAAGGCCTGCTAGCCGCATGCGGGTCTCGATCTCCTGTGCCCTCTGGCGTACGAGGCCAGGCTTCCCCCTCACGCTCCTCAGGCTGTCACTGCTGGAGCTGCGTGTCAAGGTGGAGCCATGAGGCGAGGAGGTGGGTGTAAGCAGCCCAGACCCCACCACCCCCAACAAGGCTTCATTGGTCAGTGGCACGACCAGTGGCTCTAACCGCACTTGGCATGGCGTTGAAGATTTAGCGAAGTCGCTGGAGAACTCCTCGTCCTCCTCAGTGTGAAAGGGACTCTTTTGGGACATTTGGCATCCGTGCAAAGGCTTCAGAGAGTTCAGGCTTTCCTGAGATAAACCCGCAAGTCTCTCTAGTCTCTCTGCACGGCGGCGGACCAACCCAGATTGTCGCAGCTGTAAAAGGGTCTCCTGTTGTTGGCCAAGGTAGCAAGCCACTGCAGGCTTGTCGTCCTCAGAATCGATTTTCATCAGCTCAGGGAGAGCCTCTGAGGCACTAGCAGACTGACTCTCATCAAGCTCAGTCTTTACTTCAGAGAACTCCCCATTATGCTCAGGCTCTACTAACTGCAGTGATTCTCCAAGCTGTTCCTCTCTTTCAAGTGGAGCCTTGGTTGGGGAGGCAGCACAGTTGGCACAGTCACACAGAGGCCCACAGGGGCACCGCAGTCCCACTGAGGATCTGAGGCCTTCAGCTGAGGTATGGGACTGTAGGAATGAAGCACTTGGGACTTCGGGAGGAGTCAGGTTAAGGCAACGCTTAGAAGCCAAGTTTGGAGAATCTCGTTTCAGATAAGACTTGGTCTGATCACACCAAGGCAGTGGCGTAGAAGCATCGGCTGGAAGAAGGATGGAGGAAGCTTTTTTCTAAATAAAGACGGCGCAGAAAAACAAATGCAACAATCAACAGTTATTTATGCAAATATTTAGCATTTTCAGTCTGAAATATGGGCTAAACTTCAATTTTCAAACTTACATTGTAGTTGCATGGAGTGCTGAAATGGTTGTTATTGTTGGAATTTTCATTGAGACTTGCCAGGTCCATCCCATTACCCTCTACTTCGACATCTTGCGTTTCACCACCGCCTTCATCATCTGGCTGCATTAATACCTCCATCTCTGCCTCCTCCTTTTGCACGTCCTCCTCCTCCTCCTCCTCCACTGTGCTGAATTCCAGCCTCAGACGCAGCTCCTCAAGGGGCTCCGGACCACGACTGCAGGTCTGGGCCGCAGTCCCCTCTGCCGTCGGCCCAAAGTGGGGGAGCGGCAAGCCCTCACGGCCATCAAAGGCCTCGTCATCCAGCAGAGCATCCCTTTCCACATCCTCAATTTCTATAAAGACCTTCTCCATGCCGAGAAGGGGAGGGCCGCGCACAGGTGTTGATGGTTCACTGTCCAGCGCAGAGTCAGAGAGACGGCGGAAGTAATAGTTGTTGTAGGCTGGGTCGTTCTCCAGGGGAACAGTCCTGCATGGGGAGGGGCACGCTGCACCTTTATCAGATAGTGCTTCCTCACAGCAGGGAGACATTCCTGGATCTGGAGTCAGGATGCCTCCCTCCTCTCCTCTGCAGCACTGAGCCATTCCCTGCTGTCCCTCGGCCATCTCACAGTCTCCGTCTGGATGCCAGAGCTTGTTGTGCCGTTGTTTACTGAAAACAGAGAGAGACCAAACACAAGTTTAAAAAAGCTTAAAGAGTTCACCTACAATTTATGCATAGATCAATCGAGGGATTATACCTGGCATCCAAGATGCCTTCGTATTCTGCCAGCTGTCTCATGAAAGCTGGGTTGGGTTGCGTGATGCTCCTCTTTTGCTTGACAAAGTTATAAGCTTTCTCTAGTGACCAGCCGTACTCCTTCATGGCATAAGCGATGACGGTGGAGGCAGACCGACTGACACCCATCTTGCAGTGAACGAGACACTTGGAGCGGTTCTTTCTGTGGGAAGGAATACATGCACATTTTTATAAAACACACATAAACATCAATTAGCAATGAAAATAACCAAATAAACTACAAACTGTTCCACATTTGCCTTCGTCTCATCTGAAAAACTGTTGAGGTTGGATAGTAGATTAAAAACAAAAGAGGCATCTGAGGACTAATTTTCTTAATAAGTAAACCAGACTCATTCTATTACTCGATTCAGCTGTTTTGTGAAAGGGATGATCAAAGTAAACCAGAAAATGCTGAAACGGTTTTACACTTATTAAGCAATATTTTGGAACACACACGTGATAAAATAATCATGTGAGGTTTGTTTTCTCAATTGTTTACTTTGTTCTCTCCTTGCTGCTCCTTCTCTCACTCCCAAAATCTCTCTTTTTCCACTTGTGGCCTCAGCTTATGGACTTGAGCACCTCCCCAACACTTAAACTGGTGGATCCCTTTATTTCCCCACTGTGTGAACTTTATCAAAGCAAATTTTGTGTTAATCAGCACTTCAAGAACCTGCCTGGCTGGTTCAAGTGTTGTCAGAAAATATGATCCCTAAAGCAGGAAGTTAAGCTGGAATTCTGTTTTTCTGCTACATAACAGATTGTTAACTAAACCTGTTCAACTTCTTTTTAACACAAATATCTAAACATTCAATCACATGGGAACACCTCAATGGCTTTTAGTCATTTAGACACGGTCATGACAACCTGCTGAAGTTTAAACTGAGCATCAGAATTGGGGAGAAAGGCAGTTTAAGTGAACGTGGCATGGTTGTTTGTGCCAGACAGGCTTGTGGTGGTGGTGCAATAGTATGAAGGATATTTGCTACCAGCCGAACACTAAACTCCACAGCCTACCTGAGTATTACATAAAACAGTGGGGCCATCTTATGACAGCTGCTTCCAGCAGGATAATCCAAGAGAGCACCTTTGGGCTGTGGTGGAACAGGGGATTCGCATCATCTGCTGCGTGATGCTATCATGTCAATATGGACCAAAATCTCTGAGGAATGTTTCCTTGTTGAATTTACGGCATAAAGAATTTTAGGCAGTTCTGACTGCAAAAGGGGGTCTGACCTAGTATTAGCAAGGTGTGCCCTCAGCTGTATATTTATATGTACTAATGTGTTACTTCACTAAAATACTAGCTTTGTTGACAGTAAGTCTCTAGTGATGATGACATACAGATAGTTATAACATCGACATGTTTTCTGTTCCACTCAGGACTCACTTTGCTTTAACAATGAAGTTATATGTGTTGTTCCAGTGAGCAAGCAGGTCGGTGGCCTCTTCATCGTAGACGCGTATGTTGTGATAACTGAATGTGCCTGGAAAGAAGTTGTCTATTTCTCGGGTTACATTGAGTATATAGGCCACCCTGGGGAGGAAAGATAACATGAACTCATCAACAGCATTCTTTCTTGCTCAAATCATAATGAAAATATGTTTTTTTATGTGGATATCTGAGCTTCTCTATTATCTTAAATAAATCACCCTGACTCTTGCAGCTCCTCCAAATTAGATGCATTCCATTCAGAGCCCTAAAAAACAAAATTAGAGAAAATAATGTTTAGACTGGGTATATTTTCAAATCTTCGGGAGACTGTTCTTTCTCCAAAACAATGATTTTAAAGGCAAGATTACTTTAACACTAATGTTCCTTTGGGGTAGAACAGAAAAGGAATCATTTTATCTCAGCTACTCGCAGGAAACAACAGATGTAGCAAATGTTTCTGTCAATGTAAGAGACAGCATTAGTTTTCCCACCAGGTAGACATGGTCAAAGATGAGGGTGGCTTTGTCCATCTGACCCAGGATCAACAGCATCTCATTATCAATGAACTCTTTGTATTCCTTAAGGTTGCAGTTCATGTGTTGCTCCAACTCTGTACGGATCTGAACAAAAAAAACAACAAAAAAACCCAAAAAAAAAACAACACAGCATGACTTATGTGTGAAGGGCAATAAACACACATTTAAGTGATCTCTTTTAACAAGTTAGTCCATTGATTTTTATTTCATCAAGTGACCTACCAAAACAAAGGACAGGGGCTATTCAAAAATCTTTTATCATCTTGCAAGCTAGACAGTCAAAAATTGACATTAAGAAATGGCAGTTAAAGCAATAACATGGAGGTATTGACAACATCTTAAAGACTATTCATACTTTCAGATACAACTGCCCATCTGCTGGGTGAAACCTAAGCAGAATATTGACCTTCATATAACTGCAAAGGAGCTGCAGGAAGGTTTAGCTGACACAAGTGGCACTGCACCTCTCCACTCTGCAGCACTGATGCAGAAACAGGATCTACATCTAAAAAGGAAATCCTACCTGCAACCTCATCACAGAAGACTAAAGCATTGCGCTTGGGTAAGCCCAATTCACTGTATCCGTTTCTTGATGAAGAGACTACAGTGACCAAATTTAAGTAAAAAACAAATCCAATCTAGAGCTCAACAAGCACAAAGTGTATGGAGTGGCATTCAGAGTTTCCTAAACAGAAACTCTGCAGGGAGACTTTATGCTATATGGTAAAAAGTGAATAAAATCCTAAATCAAGAATAGAAAAGATAAATGGTGTAAAGAGGGGTTAGTAACAACTAACTTGGTAGGATAGCCAAATGCTATAATTTAAGTTAATGAGAAAAAAGTAGGATGCATGTTTAGGTGTTTGCTTAGTAGTTCTTTTCACTTCCAAAGCAAGAAATTTGCACAGGCGTGCCCAAGTATTTCCATAAATAATGATAAATCTTTAAAGAATAAAATTTAAAGGAAGCCTTTCAAAACTAAACCACATGAAATGGAAAGTAAATGACTTTTTTTTTTTTTTTTAAACCTGTTTGGAGGTGACGTTCTCAAGGTCCTGGCACGTCATGATGCTTCTGAGTTTTGCTTTAATAAGGCACTCTGTCCTCTCTCTCTCTGAAGGCCTGCAAAAGATGATGTCTCATGAAACTCTCAGCACTTGTTAAAGACAGCTGCTCCAAAAGAAGCTGAACCCATTTCAACAAAATTTAAGTTGGACCGCGTTTACTGACTTGTCGACAAACATGGTGGGTGAGTCTGGTCGTGTGGTCTCCAAGTCCTTCATGGCGTTCCACTCGTTGATGCAGCTCTGGTCTGAAGCAATGCAGCTCTCATAGTAGCCCATCCAGGTGAGAGCCATTCCTCCAGGGAAATAGTTATACCTGCGTGAAACCTCGCATGCTTTGTGCAGAACCTGCAGGGCTGACCTAGATGGTTGTTGAATAGGAAAATAAAGAATTGATAGTTTGATTCTCTTTAATGATGAAAAAAATAATAATAAAATAAAATCACATGATTGTGTTGTTTACAGTTTGGCCTTGTGCACTTTTGTGCACATATGTCTTTATGCCAGTAGGTGGCATATTGAGCACTGCCTCAGCCTGCACCATTGCAGCAGAGTCTGTCTATTAGGGGATTTATTGTTGTGTGCCATGAAAGTCAACTGTAGCAGCCAGCCACTGTGACTCCGGGGGTTGATCATTACTCACCACATAGCCTGCACTGACACGGGTTTGAAGACATGAGTCCGACCTGCCGTGTTCACAGTAAAACCCCTGAGGAGCAAATAAAACAGATGGTTACTATGTGTTCATCTAAAGTGTCAGGGATGGATGCAAAAAAAAAAAAAAAAAAAAAAAAGCAGCACGATAATGCTCCAGCTGTGGCCTCTGTCCTTAAAACAAGGGTCATAAAGAAAGAATTTAAAAAAAAAAAAAAAAAAAAAACAAACTCACCCATCTCCATCCAAGTGGATCTTTGTATCGCTCCACAGAGGTAGCACCATGCCTATCGAGCAGCTTTTACTGGAAAAGTAGAATAAAAAAGGCAAAAAGGGGGAATGAAAGAACAATGTTTACATGGACTTTTAATTCAGTTGTTACAAGAAATTTGTATTTTGTTTAAAACTACTAGCTTCACAGGTAACTCCATACCTCCAACAGAGAAATGGTAACATTTAAATGTCAACTGTTTTAAGGTACAAAGGTTTGAGCTTGTGTGTGGCTAGAAACAAGGACATATTTTAAGCTTCAGTCAGAGTGGTGCAGGTGAGTGCTATCTACATTCACAAGTACATATTGTATAAAGTATTTCATCTGTCTTGTTCAGAATAAACACAAAGTCAATAAAAATATCAAATCTTTAATGGAGCTTAGCCTTTAAGAATATTAAACTCTACATATTTTACCAGTCTTTGTTGGTGAAGTCGATTCCCAGAAGGATGTTCTCCTCTGTGTCTTGTCGCCCACTGGTGTACACCACCACCATGTACCGCACACGATCTGACCATGCACTCTCCAGCCGTACCGCCTGCACAAGACACAAACAGTGGAATTCAAAGTGTTTCATCCAGGTTATAAAATTTCAAAACACTAATTTAAGTATTTATATAATAATTAAAATGTAAACATTGTGTTAACTGCCTTCACACAGGCAGAAAAGCTAATGCACAGGAGAAGCAAGAAAATTCTGGTAAACTGCTTTTCTGTCCAACAAAGTGTCGCACGCTTGATGCAACAGGGTAGCTGAGTGCTCAGGATGTGTGCGGGCACATAGGTGGTAAACATAAAGTGGGTAACACATACACCCCTATGCTATGGAAACATGTTGTAATGCTCTCCTGAGTATGTTCAAACCTGCCCTTGTGAGCTAATAATTACAGTGAGCAAATAAGCATCTGATTACACAATAAAATGCATTCTGGAGGGTTTGTTAGTCACTGGTCTCACTGTGTGTGTGTGTGTGTGTGTGTGTGTGTGTGTGTGTGTGTGTGTGTGTGTGTGTGTGTGCATATTTCCATCTAGATGTATGAACAGATTTAAGCTGTCTCTTACCAGTTTGATTCTGTCCTCTGATCGAAGAATGTTTATCATCACCTGCAGGTGTTGAGGTAAGTCACCTGTTGAGGTGGTGACAGTTATTATAAATTTTCATCAGCATACACACATTTGTAGTTTGAAAACAATAAGGAGAATTAAGGAGAATAAAAAGCAAGCACAGTGGCTTATTAAATGCACTGCTGCAGGATACTGAAGGTAAGTGAAATTAGGCTGCTCCCTAGTGTTGAACATCAAGGCCAAAACTAATACCTGCTCCTGGAAAAACGAACAGATCACCTGCTCAGTGATTCTTATCAGCTGACAAAACGTGAACTGACAATGAAATTGCATGCACAAATTTATCTAACCACAACAACTCAAGAACTTGTCTTGGCTCCTTTTATATCACTGAGTGATCTATCTGCCAAGACATGTCAGTGGAGCTGGATAATAAAACAGGGCGTGAAGATGGATCAGCAGTTGATAGAGAGCCAGCTATTTTGAAATATGTCACAACAGGTCAGGAGAAACAAACTGACATCCTGACTGGTTTAACTTACAGATACTGGCATGAGACAAGGTAAAAGACTCTTTCTGGCAGTGTCATGTCATTTCTCTGCTCTGATTTTTGGGCCAGGCTTAAACTATATACATTATATTTAAAACCTACAAATAAAAAAAAGAGGAGGATCAACACTATATTGAAGGTATTCTAAAGCTCCTCCACCAAGTTATTGCTTTCAGTACTAAAACATTACTCTGAATTTATTTGACAGACCCTGTTTATGCTTTGGGTTCCTTCTTCATAGCTGTTAGAAATAAATCCTCAGAAAACTATTCACATGCTGTGGATCAAAGTCAAGTGAGTTCCTAACACTAACAGCTGCAAGTTACCAGTCATACTCAACACATAAATGCATTGTTTTGTTAGTCTCGTTTAAACTAGTTCAACTTAAAGTCTTCACTTAAACCACTGAGCCTGGAGAGAAGTTAACAACAACCAAACAGCTCACTCATATGTAAAGTCAAACACGTCACAGCCACATAAATATTGACTCCCAGATTGCAGAGCATTGTATTTTTAATGTCATGGTTATTTCCACAAAACTGGTTGATGAGACCAAAATATTTTATTCCCACAGAGCAGTTGTTCTTCTCATGCACGTTTTGCATGAATCCCTCTCACTGTTCTGCACTTTTCGTTTCTTAAAGGCCAGAGTTACTGGGAAATTACACAAGTATTTCCATAGTAAAATGTGTTTGAGGACAAAGTAGGACCTTCAAATATGTGGGTTACCTGACAAAGTGGCTGGCAGCATAGACCAAGCTGCCAGCCGCAGCCAGCACTTGCCAAGTGACTTGGCAGTGCTTCAACTGTTGGCTAGTGTTAAAGACCCATAATGTCATTGGACTGACTCGTAAGCCTTATGTCTTTAAAGCTATAATTGTGTCTTTCAAAAGTGATTAAAGATACATGCAAGTTCAGTTCAACTTGTAACGAAACCTCTGACTTTAATCAATAGAAAATCAATTACAGATAAATCACTAGTTTAAGTTCAAACAGGCCTCACAGGAGTGTAACCATAAATGAGACTTAAAACAATTTGCATAATGGTTCTATTTCTACAATATCCAAATTCCAGTATTCTATTGCAATATAATGGTATTGTGGCATTAATTTACACAAAGAACCACAAACTCTGTTTCACATAAAAAATTAAACTTGAATAATTTTGTTTATCTTGCTTGAGCTAAAATGATGAAAAACTACCAAACAAAGTCACAAAAGGGAAATCTGAGTACAACTGTTTATAGTTACTAGGTAAAGTTAACACAAGCAAAGTAGTTCAAATGATAAGGCCCTCCTTTAATCGTCAGCAGAAGTTTTGTCCACAGTGCTAACATACGCTGGATTTAAGCACTAATCTGCCTAAGCTACACGTCTGGAACATGCTTATCAACGAGGCAGCCTCCATTCTCCACACCTCAGCCGCAAACATCTGCTGCAGTGTTAGGAAGTTTACCAGCTAACCTGGATGAGAAGTCTAATGAAGAGATTCACAAGCTCATGAGTTCAGTTTGGGTGAATGACGTGGGTATTGTAGTGTCTCACCTGCATGTTTGTGATGAGGATGTGCTTTCTGGCCCTGGTGACTGCTTCCCTGCTGCAGAAAGAGAGCAGCACCCTTCACCATGAAGAAGCTCTCACTCAGGCTGCAAACAAATGAGAGGAAAGTCAGGGGTTACACATCTTTAGAAAAGACACACTGTGTGTAAACCACAACTCAGCAGAGCAACAGCTCAGGTTGCTCTTTGGAAAACTCAACCAAACAGTGGGACACGAGACAAATGAATTTTTTTTATTTTTTTATTTTTTTTTAACAGGATGCTTCTGTTCAGTTGGAAACATCCAACGAGATGACAATAAATCCTGGTTGTCTGCTGAGGGCGAATTACCTCAACAGCTGAGTGGAAAAGCCCAGCTGCCATGTTACAGGCCCAGACGTCAGGTCTGCAGCCGCCATGAATCAAGCTTTGATCCTGAATGCTTATCTGTCTTTTTTCTGCTGCACTCAGAGTTAACCTGTCAGGACTCCACTGTCTTGGTATAATGCAGCACAGGCCCAAATAACTGACCAAACTGCAGCTGTTTGCGGCGCTTAACCTCCACAAAGACCGAAAAGCAGCAATTACTACGTCACACCTGCTTGTAAAAATCCATGAGTTTTTCAGGTTCGGCTTAAGACGTGTCAACAGACGACACAAGTATGAAGGCGCAAAAATAAATAAATAAGTGAGGTGTTTCCTCCGGGCTGAATTCAATCATTCCATTTCACTGAAAAACAATGTCAACGCATTCATAAATCTACAGTACCTGGCAGCTGCGTGGAACACACGCATCACGTATTCTGTGTGTGCACTCTGGCAAACCAGGACATCTTTGAAAAAACAAAATCCTAACATGTACTAAAGAAGTGCCTTCCTGCAAATACGGTCGTCAGGAAATCACGGTTTTCAAGTTGTGTGAGCTTAGAAAGCAACACTGGCATCAGTTTATGATTATGAAAGAAAAGAAAAAATATTTTGCTTCTCAAGTTTGCAGAAGATTAATGAAAAGAATTGAGATGAAATCACACTTCCAGGGGAAACTGCCGATTACTGCAGTGGCTCCTAAGGTTGCCTCAGAGGAAAAACTCAAATATGAATTATTATCATAAATGTCCTCATCTGAATTAAATCAACTACTGCACATTTTTATATCCAGCTCTGGAATTCCTCTCCCAAACAGCCCTCTCTGATCATACTTTCACAACCCACATACACAAGAGCAAGCCTGGCTCAAAACAGATGATTTTGTGGGAACAAAGGATTTCGTTTTGTACACCTCACAATAAACTCCGGCCGCCCCCAGCAGCACAGCAAAAAAGTTTCAGTGACAAAGTATGGGGGCGGACACCTCTCAACAAGAGCTTTTTGTCTCACTTTGGAGGATTTTTGTTTCACTGTGTTCTCTGCTTGGGATTTATTACGCTGTCAGGAAGGTCTACTGTCAGGGAACGACTATATGTGCCAAAAGTGGCAATACCAAGAGCAAGAGCAGAGCAACAGCCCCATTATTGCTCAGCAATTTGCACAAAATCCATGCTGCCTTCATTTTCTAAGTTGTAATCCAACTGTAAGTTCACTGATCTTAACCTGTGATACTAGATAACTTCTAGCAAAAAAACCAAAAACCAAAAGTGCACTCTGGTGAAATTTGAGAATCTGTGAAACTTGTCCTCGTGTAAAATCAAGAGCTGTCCCGCAGCTTCACGATCACACTCAGACATCCTAATTGAACCTACTGTCTCTTACCCTGCAGCACCCTGCTATCAGCTTCTCCACAAACACTATGGCTAAAAATACATCTGGTATCAAAGCAAAACAAAAACAACAAATGACTATGAAAGAAAAGCTCGCCAGATAGCCAGAATGATTCAGCTAGAATGTGGAGTGCTGTACCCATACCTTATTTACATCATAGTGAAAAGATCACAGTGAAAAAGTCACAAGAGCACAGTTACTAACAGAATGATGGTGAATCCAAGATTTTGGAATCGCATAACTCCTTTTAACTGATGTTCATTATCTCATATCAGCAGGAAAAGTCCTAAAACCAACTTAGTCTGTTGACCTGAAAAGACACCATGGCATCTGTTAGAATAGAATCCAGCCAATCTTCAACAACTTATACTGACAGATTTTATTAAAAGTTAGAATATACCAAGTTGTTTAAAAATCTAACCACTATCATATCAGTGAAGGATTTCATTCTTAGCTGTTTAAATCCCATTTAGAAGTTAAACTTAACTTACATGCGGTTTATCTCACTCTGGGTCAACACTGCATTCTTCACAAAATAAGGTAGCATCTTCATCATGGCCTCCTCAATGGCTTCTACAACCAGATACATCCTGTTAACCCGAACCAGACACACGCGTCTCCTGCACGAGGTAACCCCTCTTGGTCAGCCTCCAGAAACAGCGAAGGAGCAAAGCAAGAGAAGAATGGTGGCTACAGCACTCTTGAGTGACAGACTGACTGACAGCCTGTACTCATCTGCGCTGCTCAGTAGAGAAGTGCCGCCTGTTCAGATGCCACTCCCTCCGTTTCACCTCCTCCTCCTCCCTCATGTGAGCGTCTCTTTGTGCAAGTCAGCCTTCTTCCTGCAGGGACATAGTGCAGCCTCCACCCGTTGCCTCAGGCTCACACAGCCAGTCTCCCTCGTCTCCCAGTCTGTCCTGTCTCTATCACACACTTTTGCAGTGTTACACTGAGCTCTGTTACGATTAAGATATTCCAGTATCACTCAAAGTGCAGATCTCCAGTATGAAATCTGTGTCAGCTGAGAATGACAAAGTTAAAGAGAGGTGGTTTCTTCCTTAGCTAATGCAGAACATTTATCTCCAGGATGTTGTGTTGCTAAAAACATGTCTGCAAAACGACGGAAAAGCAGGGGAAAAGCAAAACCACTTGAAAGACAAAAAAGCAGACTGAGGAATTTTGGCTTGAAACTCCCTAATGGGATGTCTCCATGCCACATTATAGGTCAACAGAATCCAAGGTAGTTCCTCCAGGCTGCTTGACACATGGGCCAAGCATGGCTGGATAGGACAGTAAGAACTGGCAACGTCCCAAAACTCCTAAATCTCATTATACGCAGGCTTATAAGGGAGGGATTATCTTGGCTCTTTCCTTAAAGTGGCCAGTGCTGGTTCTCACTCATTCACATGAACCACAAACAAACAACATTGTGTTATATTGTTGGAGATTACAAGAGGTGAAAACAAGCATATCTTCTATGTCTAATATGTCAGCAAGGACTATTGCTTTTAAATGCAGGTAAAGAAGGAAAATATGGAACTGAAATTAAATACAATGAGGCCATTATAGTTCACAACAATTGGTGAAACGTGCAGCCACATGGTAGCCTAGGCTATAACTTTCCTTTGCACTTTCTCTTTCTCACCAAGCATTTAACCCCCCACACATTTACAATGAAGCGGCACTACTGTGTTAATCTGAGAAGATTGGCTAACAGACACTAACAATAGCTCTGCGACACGGATAACAAGATAGCCCTCCTTTTCTCCTAAACAATGGGACATCGTCTGTAACACCCGTGGTTACTAGCAGGTGCTGTACTCTACAAACTGCTCTGTGGCAGTCCAGGTGAAACCCTAAACAGCTTGATGTGCCAGGTGCAGGAAACAGAAGCGTAGACCTGAACATAGGAACTTATTCTGCATTTAAGGTCAAGCTTTAGAAGCAACAGGTAGGAATAAAGGCATGTCATTTAATTAAGGTGTAGGCTGTTCCTGTAAAAGTGTCCAGGTGGACCTGAATGGGGCCAAGCAGGACCAGATGTCTGCTAAAGCACTGCTCTGAGTCACCAGGTGAGCTGCTATGTTAGAAAGGTACTCTGGACTAGACTGAGCACTCACAAAGAGGCTACACAGAGGCTGTAACCAGGCGGGTTTATCCACGGTCTTAAGAGTGTTTTGCACACAGCAGCACAATAAGGGGAAAAAAGCCTCCTCTCGGGCCTGTCAGTTGCATAATGCTGGCATTTTTCTCACTGACACCACTGAAAGCAGTAAAGAGAGGGAGGGGCCAGACATGGAGGAACAGACCTCAAGTATCTGTGGAGTTTTGAAGGACCTGAACAGGAAACAAATAACGTCATCGTGTTACAGAGAAAAATAGACCCGGATCTGGTGATTCTACTGTAGTTTGTTCTGCCAAAAAAAAGAGTAAAAGTATTTACTTTCTGGACAATAAAAGTACAAGTATAATAGTGCCTGTGGACAACCTCATCTACCAGTCCTTCATCTCACTATCTGTGCTGTGCTTTCTTTCTCTAACGCACACATTAACACACATTTTTGTCCGATTCTGTGTCTTGCCCACCTCTGCTGTGTACAAGGTGGTAAAATGAAATCATTCCTTGGTTTAGCGCCATAGACACCTGCATGATGTTTATGTTGGCCCAAATCAACCCCTCCAATTCGTCATCATTATCGAGGTGGGCCAGGAACAGCGAGCACAAATACTCCCAGTTGGCAGATGCACAGCTGTCAATTAACAGATGCAACTACATATCTACCACAGAAGATAAGCAGTGCCTGTCAAGTAAAAGACAACTTATTACGCCTTACTATAAACATGAATTTACTGGCATTTTAACCACAGAATGTTATCTTACAGACTCCTCAAAAAATGAAAGAAATCTTGAGGCATGCCAGCACTCGCATCACACATAGATCATTCCCTCACACATGCATTGCTTGAGGACACAACACAGAAGATTGCATAACTCCAAAAGAAACGAAGCTCTTAAAATGATGAATGTGCACACATCATCCAAAGTGAATAATAAGAAATCAGGGAATCAAGTTTATGAGAACAAAGAACTTTCAACAGGAGAAAAGAGAAATCTGTCAATATTAGTGACACACAAAGACCGGCTTTCTCTGTTTCACCGTCTTGACAAGTTTATTTTGTACATGGGACTAAGCTGTTACAAAAGTTATTGTATTGATTTGTTGTGAAATAAAAAGTCTGCCTGTGCTTTGAGATTCAGTTTGGCAGAGTTCATTTTTCAAAATACAGCGGTTACAGTCATTGCATTTAATGTTTTAAACCTTCACATCTTGCACAGTTATTGGAAGAAAACTTTTTTTAAAAATTGCTTCATGTTTTCTCTGTCAAAAATATTTACACATCTACATCAACATAAACTCAAAGAGCCTAAAACAGTGCATTTGCATTAATGTTACAAAAAGAATAAAATAACACACGATAAAGGGACAATTACTCTATTTTGAAAAAACACACCTCTTTCCCTCTCTCTCAAGCTGCCCCAGGGACTCAGAAGAAACTTTTGGAAGAAAACTGAGTTTATTACTGAACACAGCTGAGTCATAGAACTTGTAATGCATTAATCCCTTATCCAAAGATAACAAACCAAACATATTCAGCTTGGGAGTATTCACAAATTTGAATGCTCAAAACACAAGTTACTAGAGCCAAGTGGTTTCTTGAAATCATTGACTGTTCTAAAAATGCACTCTTGTTCTTGTTATAAGATCAGGAACACAAAGGGAAACCCACTTCAGACTGAAAAGAACAGAATACAACAATTATGGCTGCTGTACATTATAGTCATGTCAGATTTCTCATATTCCTACATAATATAAACACATAATATATATGATGCATTATTAGATACACCTGACATAGTTACTATGACCTGTAAAAGTTTAAACTGAGCATCAAAATGGAAAGAAAGCAGGCTGGTCAGAGTATTTCAGAAACTGCTGATCTACTGGGATTTTCCCACGCAGCCATCTTTAGGGTTTACCAGTGAGCGACAGCTGTCTGAGCAAAAATTCCTTGTTTATGCCAGAGTAGAATGGCAAGTCTGCTTTGATACAACAGAAAAGAAGAGCAACTAAAAAAAAGCGCTTGCTGCAACCAAAGTATGTAGAAGAACATCTCCAAATGCACAACACGTTGAACGTTGAAGCGGATAAGCAACAGCAGCAGACGACTACACCAGATGCCATTTCTGGCAGCTAAGAACAGGAAACTGAATCTACAGGCTCACCAAAATTAGACCTCAATTTTGGTAGTGCAATCTTTAAGCACTTTGGTCTCCTTAGTCCACTGAGCATTGTTTAAATGCCACAGCCTACCTGAGTATGGATGCTGACCATGTCCATCCCTTTGTGACCACACTGTTCCCATCTTCTGATGGCTGCTTACATCAGAATAACACACCATGTCATGAAGCTCAAAAAGTCTCAAACTGGTTTCTTTAAAATGACAATGAGTTCACCGTGCTCAAATGGCTTACAGTGTCACTAGATCTTAATCCAACTGAGCACCTTTGAGATGTGGTGGAACAGGAAATTCACGTCACGACTGTGCCAACAAATCATCATCAACTGTGTGATGATACCAGCGTGGACCAAAGTCTCTGAGGAATGTTTTCAGCACCTTGCTGAATCTGTGCCACGTAGAATTAAGACAGTTCTCCAACCTGGTACTGGCAACTAACAAAGTGGCTACTGAGTGTACCTGACACATCCATCCGAACAGACTAGAGAGTCAGTAAGCATTTTTTTTCTTTTATCTACACTCATTAAACACTGCTTAATAATTTGCTTGCAGTCAAATACTTTTAAAAAAATGCTGATATTGTGTGTTTTTAATAAGTAAAAAGATCAAATCCTAAATGTTAAGTTTTTGTTTTTTTTTCCAATCTATGCCACACACACACACACACACGGTCTGTTAAACAGCAAAAAAGAAAAGCTGTGGGAACGCCAAGTGACTCAGATAATGGCGCGCAGTCCAAGAACACGTTGATCGGTCTAAGTGCTGATAAATAAACAGACATAATTGTCAACATATTACATGATAGACTACTAGGAACAGCATGTTTTTTTTGTTTGGGTTTTTGTTTTTTTACAGTTGGCTTTTAAGAACTGTAGACTTTAATCAGACACACACCCACACGCTTTTTATGACCCTGACAATCAGGTGTGCTCATTCACCGATAGCGCCTTGTTTGCCAATATTCCAGGTTTTACTAAATGACTCAAAGGCAGATGCAGACAGTCAGTTGATAACACCTGTGTGGTACCATATCACAGAAAGCTTAAGCTAAATTTGAAGTAAACTTACCTCAGATTTACTCGCCGTTCATCTTCACTCCCAAAATCCTGCAACAGATAACAGAAAAGATTTATACCATACTGAAATCATTTCAACTGCACTGTTACTGCTATAGCAGAACTATAGTCTTGTCTGTATTTTACTAAGCACAAACTCTGATAAATATATGCAAAAAATCAAGCAGCAATAGAGGTGCTATACATTCAGCATCTACACTTTGGAAGATGAACATACAGAGATACTAAATTTTGATATAAAGCATACTTTCTAGGGTTACCACCACTACAGCTACTCATGTGATCAAATGATCTGTAAGAAAGCTGTACAACTTCAAACACCTATTCTTAACCGTATCAACAATGGCTCACCACAGCAGGATTGTAGGGATGCTAGGGTAGAGTTTGATTGAAAACATGACTCTGAAGTAAATGCCAGGGTAGTCAAGGTACATGTTTTACCTTCATTTTAAAGGCAGCCACACCACCAAGAGAAGCTTACAAGGTAAGAGTAGATAAGACTCTAAAGTTCATCAATATTTTGAAAGATGTTGTTCCAAAGACGATTTTTCTTGTCACAGTGAAGGTGCATTAAAGGCAATGGGACTCAGTTGATGCTGAATGTAACAAACATTCAGCTAAAAGGAAAAATAAAAATGAGGAGTACCATTCGTAGGGAGGACGGAAGGAAATCATTTTGCACGGGCTTCCACAAAGTAATGCACAGCGAGCTGAGTGTCTTTATTATTGTGCATAAGCATGAAAATAACCTCACACATTAGCTGCCTCGTGCCTTCATACCAGTATCTCCTGCCTCCCTGTTTACCTCAGTTCTCCTTCCTCCCCTTCCTACAGAAGTCCTCCTCCACCCCACCCACCCCTCATGAGCAGATGACATCATAGCTGCAGCAGATTTCTGCCAGCTTTATCTGTCACACCTAAACAGCCGTCAGGCAACAATGACATACAGGGCAGGACCAAAAAAAAATCCCCTTTAGAAAAAGGAGACAATCTACTTGCACTAAATAACGTGTCACCATATTTATGAGTACAAAATAAGGTAGAAATAAGAAGTATTTCAGCCTATCCTTACCTAACACAGCTCACACACTTCTGGTTGTAAATAAAGCCAGCTATAGATAGTAATTCTAGTTTCTGTTACAGGCAGAGAGCAGCACATGGTAAGCTTCTCTGCCTATAGCTGGTAGTTAGCGCCCCCATCTGGTAACGAATAACTACTTAAATAGCAAAGGGAACTTATTTTGAATGGCTTAAACCATTACTTCTTCTCAGTGAAAGTATGCAGAAAACTCAAACCGTGACTATCTACTGTTACAGTTAAGTATTAACAATTTCAGTTGTCGTCGAATGTGTCTGTTTGCCAGGAATATGGTATTTTCCCATGCTTAATCGCACGACCAACGACACAGCACGATGGAAATTAGAATAGCGATAATCTGTGTGTAACTGTTTCCAATTTGATTTCTGTAATAGGTATTTTATGGTCAAGTCCGCCGAGTCAAAACATCCACACAGCTTTAGTGTCAGTAAATTAATGCAAATATAGCAGCAGTGCATTAAGCTCCCTGACAGTGCTGTGTGCTTGATATATTTAAGAAAAACGTTAATTTTTAATGTCAGCCACTCACATCATAAACAGCTAACGTTAATGTTAGCCACAGCTCTTATCATTTATGAGGCACTTGTCAAACTAAGCTAACGTTAGCTCTTTAAAATGGACACCTGGCCAATTGAACAGGTGTGGCGTTTCTTTAATATTATTAAATAACAAAAAAGATTTCACAGACTAATTGGAATAAGCGATAGTCAGCTACAACTCTCTGTAACGAAAACGTTTGCTAGCTACCATGAGCTAACAGCCTAGCATAACTAACTAGCTAATTCAGTCTCAATCAGCAGGCCTTCCTCTGGCAGCATCTCCCTCATCCTCACTCTGACACCACCATAACGGAGCATTGAAGCTTTGCTTCACTCGGCACCAAACTCACCTCCCCCGCGGTCGTAGTTGCTGTGCTGGCGGTGGAAGCGGCGCTCGGGGTCGGGGACCGCTGCAGAGTAACCAACGCCATGGCTGGGAGCTGAGGATGATGATGCACCGGCCGGCCGCTCTGGCCTGGTGAGCTGCAGCTAGCTGCTGGGCTAACGATACATACAGCTGACAGAGAGACTGATGATTGGAGGGAACCGAGCCGAATTATCCTTTCAGGCAGGGCCCCCGATGAAGGAAGTTATGCCTTCAATCCATCCCGGCGACACTTCTTTTGTAATTATGTAGTCATAATATAACTGCTAAACCTATGAATAACAGTGACATCACGGCAACTGACATGTACAGCAGCCTGTTTGTATGCGACCTTTAAACGAGGCAATTCAGGTTTACATAACAGGCTATTTACAACAGGATCGAAAACACAAACAAGGCTATGTAAAACCACACTCGTGGGTAGGAACAAAATGTAAAAATCGCGAAAGAAAGAAATATTCAAAAAGCTTTACAGATATACGAAAAATAAGCAATGTCTGAAATATGTTTTTACTATTTTGTTCAGAAGTAGGCGTGACTTGACTCATAATAATGTGCAAAATGCGACCCAAAGTACAATAACAATTTCATTATTATTATTATTGTTGTTATTGCTGTTCTGACTGCTTTTATAATAATGAATCAATATAATGGCATATCTGAATATACTTAAAGTGTTGCTTCTGCGTGTGTGTGTGTCCCCGTCAATCTGTGTTGAGGTGTGGCTTCATGAGACAGGAATGGCAATTTTATTTTTATTGCTGATTATTAACGTATCCTTTTTGCTTTACACCAGGTAATGTATTTCTGACTGTCGGTGGATTATTCTGATACTGATGGATATGCAGAACAGGACAGAACTTGCCACAGAATCTGCCCATTTTTTTTAAACATTTCTTCATTATTAACGAAATCTCTGATTTTAATTCAGCACATTAAAGTTTTTGAAATGAAATGACAATGATCCCAAACACACTGCCAATGCAGTAAAAAGAGACCGGGATAGAAAACACTACCAGTCATGGATTGGCCTCCCAGGAGCTCGGACCTCAACATTATTGAAGCAGTGTGAGATCATGTAAACAGAGAACACAACAAAAGGCAGCCAACATCCAAAGAAGAGCTTTGAATGTCCTTCAAAAAGCCTGGAGTACTATTCCTGAAGATTAGTTAAAGAAATGACAAGAAAACTGACCAAGACAGTTCCGACTGTGTTGAAGAATAAAAGTGGTGATAGCAAATACTGACTTTCAGATTCGTAGGAACTGTACAAACTACGTGTTTGTCTTATATGCTGTATTTCTGTGTAAGGGTCAAGAGTTTTGGACAACACTGTGACTTCCATCGTTGCAGTCCTTTTAATTATCAGGCGAGATCGACAGAACATTTTCTCAGTAGGTTGATTGCGGTTTAAACTATACACCGTGAACGCGTCTTGCGCTCTACGTGCCTGCAATCTCCGCCTTGCTTGCAAGAGAGAGGCGGACCAGTTAGAAGTAGGAGCTGAAACACTTTTGCTTTTTAACTCTGCCAAAAGCGGTGGAAAACCATAGTGAAGGTAAGGCGAAACTTATTTGTAATCTATAAAGTGGACTATGCTGACAGCACGTGCGTCTGATCCCTCTAACCATGCTGCTTTTACTCAAGTTTCAGTAACTAAGTTGTTGCTTCTCAGATGGATTCTTTGTTTCACCAGATCTCAGTGTTACGTAATACTGTACTCTTAATAATAACCATGTGGAAGCACAAGTTCTGCACAGCTGTGCCTCACCCCTCAGTTATGCAGCAGGTTTGATCAGTGGAGATAGGTTGTTTAAGGTCTTTATTGTAATTTCTGTTATAGATACTGCATACGCACATGTAATGATTGACTTAAAATGTTGAAATATTTTACATTTTATTTAAATATTTCATTAACATATAACTTATTCTCAACGATGAGCAAATAGACAAAAAAAAGAAGAAGAAAATCGTTTTAATGTTAATATTGAATCCAGTCTTAGTCAATCTGCTGGTTAATGGTTATGTTTGATTCCTTCATGGGTTAGTGAGTCTCACTGTGTCTCATGTTAGTGCAGACATGCGGGTGGCAGTGATTGGGGCAGGAGTGATTGGCCTGTCAACAGCTCAGAGCATCTATGAGCACTATCACTCTATTGTCAGTCCGCTGACCATCGAGGTGTATGCAGACAAGTTCACTCCACTGACCACTAGTGATGGAGCAGCAGGCTTCTGGCAGCCTTATCTGTATGATAAGGGCAACGTTCAGGAGACGTGAGTGTGTTTTATTTAACTTTCCTTTAGATTTTAGTTTTTATCTACAAACATTACTATTGCTACATTATTCCCATATGTGTCCTTCACATTTAGAAAATGGAATAAAGAGACATTTGACTACTTGCTCAGCTTTCTCAAGTCACCTGAGTCCATAAAAATGGGAATATTCCTTGAGTCTGGCTACAACCTTTGCAGTGAACCCGCACCAGTGAGTACTGCTTCTTTTTTTTGGAACTACACTTTTTTTTAATCTCAAAGATAAGATTTATTCTTATTAGGAAACCTTTTACAGCCAAGAACATAGGTGTGTGTATATTTGGTTAAAGTGCAACATCAAGCAACTCATTCACAAATTTATTGCATTTCGGGGCAATATCTACACTAAACAAAGTCCAGTTGCTCTGAAGTAGAGCTTTGTTCAGCCACATAAATGATTGTTGAATGCACTGGTTGGAAACTGTAAAGAGAGAGGCCCCACTAAGGGTTGTTTTTACACTCAGAATCAGGGTTAATTGGGATTCTGTGTACTAACGCCACAGACATTTCTAGCAAATAATGAGGAAAAACTTGCAGGAAAATTGCTTTGCACATGATTAAGACTGTGGAAGCTGTATAATTATTCTAGAAATACAAGAAAGCACAAATATGCAAATTCTGAACTCTTGTAACAAAGTGGATGACATCCCATAGTACGTACAAAACATTCAGGAATGCACGCGTAAACTCCTCCGGTATGTAGTAAGGACCCTGTCACACTGCAGTTCTGAAAATATGGAATATGGAAATATTCAGCTGTCTGCTCGAGTGGTCTGACAGTCACGGACGGAGATGGACTTATGTGGTCAGAAGTTTACTTACACTCATCAGATTCTTGTCATACCACAGCTTTACCAAAAGTTTAAATTGGGTAAAAAACAGTTAGTTGCAGAGATCCACATTAGCAGATGATAAAAAGAAACACAAAATACAGAAATTACAAGAAAGCTTGCATTTGGGTGTTTAATGATTTCTTTCAACTGTTCCCTTTTTAGTGCGGAATGATTGTAAAGCATCTTTAATGACTTTAAAAAACCAAAATTGGGTGCTCAAGTTTGGATTTATTTTAGATGTTCTCTGCACACAGTCAAAACTAAACATACAGACTCAAATATTTACATACATTAACTTTAACTTCACCTTGAATCAACAGCTAGGTGGTTGAATCTTGGACACATGTGGGTGTTACAACAGGACGATGATCCCAAACACAAACACACATGAAAAATGTTTTTTGGAATGAATAAAGCAGACTAACATTACAAAAACCAGCCAATTTAAACAAGCTTGTTGATGGCTACCAAAAACATCTGGTGAGGTGCCACTTACATTTAACCAAAAATCAGTGGGGGCTAATGTGTATATATATGAGACTATATGTATAGTTTTGATGCTGTGTGAATTAAAGAAAATCCTAAATGAATTCAAACTTGTGCATGTTTAAGTCATTAAACATGCTGTACAATCATTCCACTCCAGAAAACAACAGTTCAAAGACATCATTAACATTGATGTACATCCATGGCCATGATGAGTGGATGTAACCTTGAGAACACAACTGTATATTAGCCGGCACTGACATTGTTGAGTGATTTCTGCATGTTTGCAAATAAGATCATGCAGTGGGCTCTTTTTTTTTTTTCTGTTGTGTCACATTAGTTTAGTGCCGGTTAAAAGTTCACAGGTCAAGCGATGAAACTGGAAGACTTTCAAACACTTATTTTTTCATATTCTTATTTTATCTTAACCCTTAACTTGCTATGCTAAAAGCTTAGCAAAACAGAAATAGAAAGTTGCAGAACCAATCCAAGTTGGCACAATGCAGAGTTACAATAGTGATGCAAAACTCAAGTATATGTCCAGTTTCGGGTTCAGTGCACTCTGGAAATTCTTTTGTGAATTTCATGTGTTACAATAAATCTGCTCTTAGCAGCAGAAAGCATTTCATTGAGCTTTCTCTTGCAACATGAAGTAACATACATTTCTTTTAGTTGTAGTCATGCCTACATCAAAAGCCTATTTGTCATGAATGGAAATGGCTTGTATCTCATTAGAGCAGCCAAATAATCCCAAAGTACAATCAGGCTAATTCTGTGTTATTTAGGAAACCGGGTAATTACGTCAACCACAAAACTGCCTGTACTGGTACTGATGGTGATCCTTCACTGTTACCACAGTGTCCTATATTGTTCCATATTAGGAAAACGGAAACCAATATTGTACCATAAAGTTTCACTGCAATCTATGCAAGATGTCAAATATTAATAATATACACGATAGAGCAACTCTGTTTAGTTGGCAGGGCTTATTCCCAGCGTTAATTTGGCATTTCATAAAAAAAAGTGGTTAATCTCAGTTGTAGCAAATGTGGCTGAGGAACCAGGAGCTGATGAAACCCCATCTAACCCAGAAACACTTATTAACATATTAACTTCTATGAGAGTGTGTACTGAGAAATCTGACAACAAAAAAATGTTTCTTTCAGCTCGATTCCTAATCTTTAGGGAGTTTGTATGCATTAAGCTATTACTAAGTAGTTCACAGGATGACTTTCATAATGTAATAGCACTGAGAGGAATGTGTGACACAGACATGCGTTTGAGTCATAACCAAAGTGAAGAGTCAGCTGACTCGATATCACCAAGACAGCCCATGCATTAGCAGCCCAGATATAACATGGTAAAGACAAGCGAGTTTTCAAGATGCACTTAAGTTACTTTCTCTGTTGAAGAGCTCTTTATTGAAGATAAAAACCCAAACAAAATATCAGTGTTTGGCCACAAGAGACTCAGAGTTTCACAGTGGATACATCCTCTGTAATAATGTGATTTGGTGACTGTGACACCCATAAGATTGCCCTCTCACTGCCTGTGGCTTGTTTTTGGTTGCAGGATCCCTCGTTTAAGGACAGCGTTCTTGGCTTCAGGCAGCTCACAGACCGAGAGCTGCAGATTTTTCCTGGATACAAGTAAGCTCTTTCTGAAAAACGCCAATGAAAGACAAGACACAAATAAACAAATAGTTAGCCACATAGTCAGCTGTTTACATACAGTGTGAACAAGTTGACTTTGAATGTGTGGTAATTAATTAAAGAAACTACTTGACCCCATAAACTCTGAACCATGAAAAAATTGCCAGAAAATTTAAATTAAAAAATGCAATGTGTATTTAAATGTATGACCAATTTAGAAAAAAAAAGGAAAAATTACATTTAAGTTTGAATATATGAGTTTTAAGTTGTATTTTCTTTGCGACATCTGGCATTTGTAACCCTAACAGGGTTAGGGTTGTAAGTCACACTGAGGATGTTGACTCATGTTTCAAATAACATAAAATCATGTTTAGTTTGATAAACATGAATTTAAAAATGCTAAATGTGTGAATTTCACTGTATTACAAGCGTCCCACTAAAAGTTACCAGTATTTTTTGTGATTGAATGGACAATGTTGCACAACCAGCAGTTTTAGTGAAACATTTGCTTCTTATCATTTGTTCAGGTTTGGGTGGTTCAACACTGCTCTCATGATAGAGGGTAAAACATACTTACCTTGGCTTATGGAGTGGTGAGTGATCACCTAACTGACTTCTCATGTTGTATCAGTGTTGATTTATTTAGTCCAACCTCCTGAGTTAGCTTTAAAATTCCCAAAGTATTTGACATTGTTTGAGATCCGTTGTTTTTATATTTTACCTTTAACATAAGACCATATCGTGTTTACAGTTTTATAATGTTGTCCGATATATATGCTGTACCTGGTGGACTGAAATGATCCCACAATACTGAGTAACGTATACTTGAGACTTCATCCTATTATGTATTAGTAATAAGAGTAATAAACATGTCGTCTTCATTAGGTTCTTGTGTGTTTAGCATCGATGCTCCTTAATATAAAAGGTTTTCTAGTGCACAGTGTTTTTATTTGCAGGTTGCGAAAAAGGGGAGTGAAATTTTATCACAGGAAAATAAAGTCCTTCAAGGAGGTTAGTGAAAGTTTTCAGTGTATTGTGCTTGCAAGTTCTTTATACATTCACCGGACACTTTATTAGGCACACCTTCTAATCTGACTTAATTCGTCATGGGATAGATTCAGCGAGGTGCTGGAAACATTGCTCAGAGATTTAGGTTCATGTTGACATCATTTCTTGTAGCTGTCTGGTCTCTCTCCTCTGACCACAGGCATTTTCACCCAAACAGCTGCTCACTGCATAGTTTCTCCTTTTCTGAACATTTTCTGCAGTGTGGGAAAATCCCAGTAGGTCAGCAGTTTCTGAAATACTCAGACCAGCTGGTCTCCCATTAACAACCACACCACACGTTCAAAGTCACTTAAGTTACTTTATTTACTCATCATGACGCCTGGTTTGAACTTCAGCTGGTCGTCTTTAATGGTGTTTTGCTGACTTATGCCCAGTCTGTACTATATTAACATTTATTACTGAATGTTGTAATGTTTTACAGCCTCCAGACAAGTTGAGCAAAAGTTATCTGTCACCATGTTTGTTATCTCCTATCATCCTTGACTTTTTTTAGCTGGCTGAAACCGGAGCAGATGTGATCATAAACTGCAGTGGGATGTGGTCAGGCCAACTGCAGCCAGATCCAGACCTGAAACCAGGCCGTGGCCAGATATTGAAGGTGAGAATATACAGGGCTGTATGTATGTACTGCACAAGAGATAAAGGAATGACGGAATGAACTAGTGTTTGTTTGTATTTCAGGTCGATGCTCCCTGGCTGAAGCACTGGATTATTACCCACGATTTCACCAAAGGAACATACAATTCACCATATATCATTCCAGGGTAGTACAAGTAACATGCCACACTGATAAGCACTGAACTGCAGAACCACACAGCTGTTGACTTATAGTATTACTACATTTGCAGTTAGAGGATTTTATATATTTCACCTTAAAAAAAAGTTTTCAAATGTAGTAGCTCTAGTAGTTACTGTCTGTAGTTCAGTTGCTATGTTAACAGCTGCAGCACTTTTTCGTATAGAATAGAATAGAATAGAATAGAATACTTTTATTTGTCAATTTCTTCAAATGTACTTGCCATACAAAGGAATTGAAATTACGTTTCACACTGTCCCATGCGTAGACATTGACAACAATAAGGTGCAGATGCACAACAAAAACAGCCCTAACAATAAAGTAATAAATAGTAATATAATAATATAAATAGTGCTAAAAGAAATACTAAAAATATATATATAGTTGCAGGTGTGTGCAATTGCAATGCAAGTCAGGAATGTTTTCAGTTCTTGGTTCAGAGAGTGTTTCTTTGTTGGAGAGTGTGCGTGGGTGAGGGGGAGTAGAGTCCAATCTGTCTTCCTATACTTCTGCCAATCTGGTGATTCTGCTGGCTGGGAGTCGGGAGGGAAGAGAGTTCAGCAGTCTCACAGCCTGGTGGATGAAGCTGTTGGTGAGCCTGGTAGTGCGGGAGTGGAGACTTCTGTATCTCTTTCCAGAGGGCAGGAGGCTGAACAGACAGTGCGCGGGGTGGGTTGCATCGTTGACAATTGTGATAGCTTTGCAGGTGAGGCGAGTGGTGTAAATGTCTTGCAGGGAGGGGAGTGGTACACCAACTATCCTCTCAGCTGTTCTCACAATGCGTTGTAGAGCTTTTCTGTTATAGTCAGTGCAGCTACCGCCCCACACAGTGATGTATTGTATTGTACCGTATTGATTTGGGGTTGGAGTACAATGAAGACAGAAAGCAAGAGCTGTTTTTATCAGTGTGCAAAACATTTGTGTCCGCAGAAGTCGTCTTGTGACGCTTGGTGGCGTTTTCCAGATGGGAAACTGGAGTGAACAGAATAGCTCTGTCGACCATAAAGAAATCTGGGAAAAAGCTTGTCAGCTTGAGCCTAGTCTCAAGGTACGATGAGTTCAGCAAGGCCATAAAAAGATATGATGATTCAAGTGTGATTAATTATTTACAGTAAGTGTTCTGTGGTGCTGAAGTTTTTAACATTTTTCATTTTATATATTTAGACCTCATTCTAAAAAGATGTAACTGAGTGTCAAATTTTCAGTTTCTGAGTTACCTTTATTATTATGTATTTGTTTATTTATTGTCAGTTCTGAAAAGCTTTCATCTCTTTGTTCTCTAATCTCAGCATGCCAGGATAGTCGACGACTGGTCTGGCCTCAGGCCAGTTCGCAGCAAAGTCCGACTGGAGAGGGAAGCCATATGGTCTGGTGAAACCCCCATAGAGGTATCCTTTCTAAGATCTAAGTAGCGGAACTGTAAATACATATTTCTGCTATTAATTGTCTAAAATACTGTGGCATTATTCAGGTGATACACAACTATGGCCACGGAGGTTTCGGACTCACCATTCACCGAGGCTGTGCCGAGGAAGCGGCGAGGCTCTTTGGTCAGATCGTGGAACAAAAAGGCAAAGGTCCAAAAGCTCGCTTGTGAATTGGTGTGCAGAAGTAACGATTGATGCTCTTTTTTTTTCAAATGTCAGCATCAGTGCATATATTGCTCCTAGCCTCCACTAATTTAATATTAAACATCATTTTCAAACAGTCTCATGCACCTGCAAAGTTAAGGACAAGGCCACCATTGTTAATTAAACAATGGCACATATGTAAGACAATCGTGCTGAAATCTATTTGAGATTTGGATAATTTGAGAAGCACTTTTTATGTATAAATTGTACATATTTTTGTGAATTTTTTAGTGCACTAAATGCAAGATTTGCAATGAATTTAAAATATTTAACTAATTAATAAAAACACGACTTTTACTTGTCTTTGAAAGATCATTTACTACAGTATCATACACATTTACATCCAGTGCGTTGACAAGGATCTGTGCACACAGACACGTAATGCAGCTCTTCATCTCAAACATTGGCAGGTAACAGCTCATCAGACCTATACTCGTTAAATAAATACAGAGATTATTTTTTTAAACAAAACTTCCCTCAGTCCATCTCCTCGTCACCTCTGTTACAAACAAAAGCAAAGACAACAACTAAACCAGGTATTGATACATTATTTACAGAACACAACATCCCGTTGTGGACATTCGGAAACGCAGCATCAAAGTCTGCTGAAGTAGGGCACGAGATGCATCAACGTCTATAGATTATGACACCACATACATGTGTGAATGTTTTTGTATTTTTAAATTATGTAAACCTTGCTAACTAGGCTCAGTCAGCTTTGGATGTTGAGAAACTGCTCAGATTTAAATGATCAAACACTTTAATGTTAACATAAATACAGGATCCATGGAGCATGTTTGTGCTGTAAATATGAGAAGTTATTATCTTACTGATGTTAATATCTTCTGGTGAAGGTTTCAACAGATCCCTCAGCTTGCTATAAAGAATCTGTCCTGATAATGATCAAGAGATGAGGTGGTATTTTCAATGTTACCTGCATTTTCCATGGGTCTTTACCGTGTTAAAATGTGAACTAATACTGACACAAGAACAACACATACAACACAAGAGTTCAAAAGGATGCTCGGTGTATGAAAGCTAGTGACTTCCTTTCACCTCTCACGGCTGAAACTATTAAATAACCCCACACCCTTTTCATTCAGATGCCCTGTTGTTTTGATTGTGTGGGATTTTCCTTCAATCTATCAATGCTCTGTTTTAAAAAATAAAGACAAGTGTGATTAGTGTATTTCAGCAGGCAAATTGTGCGCACAGGATAATGCTGTTCCTTACATATGTATCTACGCCCACTACGTTAGCAGAAGCAGCTTTCTCATAGGTTTAAGAGTAGGTCTCTCGACCACAAGCTAAATAGGTAGTTTTAAGGCTTTTTGAAAAGAAGATAGTTGTTTGACCTTACGCTATCCCTTTTGCTTCTCTTGGATTAGAAAAGCTTGATTAAAATACTTTGGTTGAAGTATTAGAATTCTCCCTTTACGATTTTCCTCCCCCATTCACTCTCACACTCATGTAGGTCATTTGGTCTTTCTTGATTACCCTGTGTGCAGTTATACAGTGGCAAACTTGTGAGAGCAATGGTGTTTAAAAGACTAAAAAAGTACAATGACATGTACATGTAACTACTGTGTTGCCTGGCTCCCAGCCACTGCGGTGACTAAACTGAAGATCATTGAAGGGGGGCAAAGATGAACACAGAGAGCTGGTTTTGTTGTCTTCCCTCTCCTTGCTTCTCTTCTTCACTGTGGTCTCCTCTCAGCTGCACTGCAGCTGATGCATCCTCAGCCCTGGGAGCCGGAGCTGGAGTCAGGGACTCCTCCAGCGCTGTGGGAAGAGGCCCTACCCATCATCTCCTGTCCCCACTCACGGTGGCTGGACTCCTGCAAGCCGCGGCCTGTCGTCTCAATTGGCAGCGCGCAGGAGGCGATGGCCGCGAAGAGGCAACAGCAGCAGTACACTGACAGAGCCAGGTACACAGAGGACTCCAGCATCACCTGCAGGATGAAGCCCATGGACAATCACAATGTGTGACACTAACACTCTGACATTTTTGTGCAGTGTTGTCATGGGAAAACAAAGTGTTACCTGGGCAACAAACGGAGTTATTAGGGCACCAACCCTGGCCATTCCACTGCTTGTTCCCAATCCTAAAGCTCTGGTTGCTGTTGGGTATACCTGCAGAGTTTCAGAAATACATAGGAGGCTGCCAATTTTCTAATTCTGCCCTGCAAATGTGTTTTACACAGTAGGAGCAAAACTGCTCACTGTGTAGATATCTTACCTCTGGAGTGTACACATAGGCTGCCTGAAACCCTCCTGCAATAAATGCTCTGGCGATGAATATCAACACTGTCATGGAGGCTCTGCAGGGGATAAATCAGTATCAGTAAATGGACAGCATTACTAATTCTTAAAGTATTTAAAAGCCTGATTATGGCCACTTGTGCCTTTACCTCCCAACACAGCCATAAAGTGGAATAATACACATAGAGAAAACGAAGAAACACAGTGCCATGGTCTTCCTCCTTCCCAATCGATCGATAGCCCACAGCGTCACCAGCAGTCCTGTACAACATCAGCATACTCAGACCCCTAAAATCAAACTGCATGCTCTCACATAGTAGAAAAAAAAATGCAGGTGCAGCCAATCATATTGAGACACCAAAATGAGTGCCTGCATGAGTGTAAAAAAAACAACAATAGAACAAGAATTGAAGCAAGAAGAGAGGAGGCATTTATATTAATGCATAATAACCAGCAGGTGGTCATATTTGTGCATAATTTAGAGCAGAATTTGTACAGTTTTTAATATATTGAACAACAAATTTATGAGAGCTTGGTGATGTGTACCTGGGAATTCAGATAACGTAGTCCACAGCAGGTCTTTGTAGTCGTCAGAATTCAGGTATTTACACTCTAAGCTGCATCGGAGCTCCTCCTTATTACCTTTGGACACTAGAGGGAGTTACACCAAACAGGATGCTTCAAATCCAGCACTCAGCCTACTGTCTGTGATGCTTTTTGCAAAAACATAACCACCATAAAGTGTGTGAAGCCCTCAGCATCTGACTCACTTCCACATGCGCCTCCCTCCTGAAACAGCTCTGTGGTGAGCAGCACCAGCCCATAGTAAGAGAAAGCATTCGCAAACCTGCATGAACAGACACAGATCAATTCATGCTGATTTGCTTTAGGTAAATCACTGGACAATGAAAACGCAAGGTTTTCGAGAAAGAGGAAGACATTATCAATTGCTAATTTACCAAATAAACCACAGCAGGACTGTGGTCCAGCGGAAGTGAGATGAAAATAAGTCTTGAATCTTCCCACGATCTTCCTAATAAAAAAAAATAAAAAAACCAGCCATAAAAAAACCCCTCAGAACACAAATGGCAGTATGATAGAGGGTACTTAATGTACACAAAGCATTTAGTTTTTGCAGATGCACACCGCACCTGTCTGGCGGCAATCAGTTTTCCCAGTGGCATGGGTGCTCCGTTCTCAGTGGCAATCCGCTTCAGTGTGTTCAGAGCCTTTTCCTGATTCCCTGTCAGCACGTCGTATCGAGCACTCTCTGGCAGCCACTGCTCCCACCCACCAAAAAACAAAAGAAAAATTAGGTTGATAAAGCTGTAATCTATCATGCTTCAAATTGTAGAGCAGCTCAAGACTGCCAACATACTTACAAAGCACAGAATGGCAAAAATGAAGAGAGGAATGGTAGAAAGTCCGAGCAGCCAGCGCCAGCCCAGAGTGGGCATCACCAAGATCGCTAAGAGGACCTCAAATACAGTGCCCAGTGCCCAAAATATCTACGACAGCAGCAAATGCAGGTTTTAGGGCTGAGAAGGTTTAAGTGCTGAAATGATATAAGATTTGTGCACTCCATACCTCAATAAGCAAGATGCATGTGGCTCTGGACTTCATAGGCAGAAACTCAGCATACAGCGTCACCCTTACAAAAAGAGGCACTTTATTATGAACCCAATCGCCATACATTACAATTTGATTGTTTTTTTGCTTTGTTTTTTCAAGATGAAGGGTTACTCACGACTGAGGTGCCCCTCCAATGCCGAAGCCCACCAGTGCACGGAGGACAAGGATCCAGCCGTAAATAGGTGCAAAAGCACTCATCAGGCCGTAGAACATCGTCCACAGAACACTCAGCTTCAGACCCTGCATGTGTATACAATCAAGACATAATACACTGCTAAATAAATAAATAAGCAAAATCTCACTCTGGCATAATGAAGCGGCTCACTCCTGTTGTCTAGTATGTACTAAGAAACCCTAACTCTGTAAATCATTTGGACCTCTGACTGAATGCTATTAGAACTTACTGTCTTTCTGCCGTATTTGTCAGATATGTTCCCCCAAAGAGAAGAGCTGATCATCATCCCGATGAACACTGCCTGTATCAAGAAGAAAGAAAGAAAAAAAAAACCAGAAAAAAATCAAGTCCCAGTCAGATTGCAGCCAAAAGTTGTCCGACATAGCATGCACATCCTCTTATACACTGTTCTTAAACTGTCGGTAGTATTTGGTTTTGGTTGAGCCACAAAAATGTGAATGTTTAGTGTCTTTAGTAAGTGAACCTTAATTTCCTTGTTTGAATGATATTCTGTATTTCACTCTGACTCTAAATAAGACTTTCAGATTCATTAAGGTTGCAAAGATTCAGCACATATCTGAAGTGTGCTCAGGTCTTCTTTTCTTCGCCATTTGCTGGCTCCGTTTTAATCCAAGCACAAAATCATCCCTGGGAACTCGATCAATAACTGACAGGACGGTCATATTGCACTGCAAGAGGAGGACTTTCACAGACATAAGAGAGACATTACCGATGTAAGCAGTGCCACTTCCAGGCTGGGCAGTCTCCATTCACAGTGGAGCTGTGGAGCTAAGATGCTGAGGATCATCATCTCCATAGCATCAGCCATCTGAAAACACACAAAGATACTCAGTGAATTCATATGCAGTTGTCATAATTACTTTGTATTGTGCTTATTTAAATGAAAGAGCAGTTCTCACCCAGGATAGGCCAGTGAGAATGGAGAGTTTCCACTGAAATGTCCCAAAGCCTATGGCTTCTACGGCATCTTCCACCATGAATGTGTCTGAGAGAATGAGGGCGTGCAGCAAGATTGTACTTGAGTCTGAGCCCAGGAGGAAAATGTAAGACCTTAAAACAGCTGTCTGAGAGAAATGAAGCCATGCCATACTGTACCATCAGTCGGATTAGCAAACTCTCGAGGTACTGGAGCTCCCTCAGTGAGCGCCACAGCCTCCAGATCAGTCTGCTCTGCAGTCCTTGCATCCTGCTCTCTGCTCTCAACATCTTCCTCTGAGCGTGTGCTCTCACCTGTGCGACGGAAGCGGACAACACTACAAAAAACATAAAGAAGAGGATAGAGTATATCTTATCCTAAGCTCAGGAGAATGAACTTATCTGCAATAAGGCAGGTCACAGGAGTTTCATAAGACTGGTGTCAGAGCAATGCTGAGTGCAAATGAGAGTCAGAGGCTGTTGCCTTGGTGATATGAGCTTTTCCTGGCTTTGATTTTGTGTATGGGTGATATTATTCTCCAATGGGGAAACCATATCAGGCCAGCAGACAGGTTGGCACACTCCACTTCACTGCCAGACAAGCTTTTAAAGGCTAAGAGATACACATGTGAAGGATGGAAGGGATACTCTTCTTCTACATGCAGATAATTGATAGTTTGCTCAGCATGAAAGACTAAAAAAGAACACGGAGAGTGGGACGTCTTAATCACTGTAATTACATAACATAGCCTGCTTGCAGTGGAAAGTAGCCTATCAGTATTACAGATGAGTTTGTGAGATTTCCGGGGAGGTCTGTGTTCCCCTGTAAAGACTATAATTTCCCCTTTCAATCTCTCTGGTAAGAAATGCACACGGGAGTAGGAAGTATGCTGCAGTGGACTGCTCTGACATGTTTACCTTCCCTTTGAAACAAAAATAAAATGTGATTTTAATTTTTTTTAGCAGGATTCTGAAAGGAGACTCCTAAATATCTCTCACTAAGGCTAAGCTAGACTGTCATGGGCCAGCCTTAACGCATGTGCAGCAGGGCTGTGATAAATTGTCTTATGGCAGTAAACATAGTAAAAAAAAAAGAAAAAGAAAATCATGTTTAACCCCCCCAAAAAACTTATTAAGCTGAGAAATCACAGCCAATCTGCTTCCAGTAAATAAATAGTTTCTTAGGAAGATGCTACGCCTGTAAACAAAATGCCTCCAGTAGCGGAGACAGAAGACGCGGTGTTATTGTTCTTTGTTTCTCTTCTGTCTGGGAACACATGTGTGGATAATAAAACTGCACGATCGGTGCTTTTGAGCAGCTTCAGGCTATCTGTGGTCCAGGGAGCTAATCAAAGGCGACGCGAAGCCGTCAGAGGGCGATGCGTCGGACAATCACGCAAAGCCGGGAGGAGAAAACACACAGAAAAAGGCGTTGGTGTGCAGACTGCACCGTACTCACGGCAGCTGTCTCAGCTGGAACAGATCATCGTCCATTTTGGTGTTCATTGGCCGACGGTCCGTTTGGCATCATCGCCGTTTACATGGTCACGACGGGCTGCGATTTCAGCACCGAGGAGAGCGATCTGCTCCGGGTGTCCGTCGACAGCCAATGAGAGGCTGCCCTGCGCGAGTCACAGCGCGAGACTCTCGGAAAGGCATGAGCTCAGGAGGGTATAAGACCTCATGACTGCTGATTACACGAGCCAACACATGACGAGTTATCAACACTGACGCTGGAAACCAGACCGGGAAACGCACAACACAGATGAATCGGAATTTTTAAAGCTGTAACGTGAAAGTTATTGAAAGAACACCCAGAAGCGAGTGTACGAGTGGGGTTGAAACTATTAGTACAACTCGATGCAAGTTTGCTATATATTTAAATAATAATAATAATAATAATAATAATAATAATAATAATAATAATAATAATAGGGGTTAGGAAATAAGTTACAACAAGTGACGTAACCAGGGTTTAAAAATTAGTAAGGTGAAGATTTTTTTTCTCTTAAGGTATCATATTCCAGGTGTAGATAGATTAAATGTGAGACGGAAACCTGGTAGAAGCTTTCCCTTTTACGCTTTTAGAGTCACATAGCTTTCGTGTCAAAACTGGCAGTCTTTAAAAAGGGCACTAGTGTTTCCAAGTACTTTTTTGTCTTCATTCTGAGCGCTATACCAGTTTTCTGTTTAAAAGAGTCCAACAAACATCCTTTTTTAAATCTACACTCTTGCTTGGTAACTGCACTCGTGTGCTTTCTTTGAGATAAATGGAAGTTTCTTTGGCATTTTGTTTTCTAAGCCAATGAATTTCACATACACTCACGGAAAAGTCACGTTACGGCAGCAAAGTGGACAGTGCAGAACAAATAGATGCGGTATAACTTATAACAGGGGTGGGCAACTCCAGGCCTCGAGGGCCGGTGTCCCTGCAGGTTTTAGATGTGTCCTTGAACCAACACAGCTGATTTAAATGGCTAAATTAGGTCCTCAACATGTCTTGAAGTTCTCCAGAGGCCTGGTAACGAACTAATCATGTGATTCAGGTGTGTTGACCCAAGGTGAGATCTAAAACCTCGGGGCCTGGAATTGCCCACCCCTGACTTATAACAATAGTGCTATACAGAAAACCTATACACTGTACAAGGTATGAGATTTTCAATTTATATATATCATACAATATGAAGCTTAGTAGCAGCAAAAAGGGACGTTTGATGCAGAGGTTGTGTGTTTATAGCAGGAAAGGTGGAATGTTGCACCTGTGCTCCAATCATCAGTAGAAAAGGCTACACTTCTGAAGAGACTAGCTCCAAGAGTTGCAATACAATCAAAACCAGAGAGTTTGAAAACTGAAGGACTTCGTTTAATACATGTCCCCTCTTTTGCAGGTGCAACTATATATATGAAAAAATAGAAGCTGAAATTTAGATTAAAAAAAAAATTAAACAAAGAAATAAAAAAAATAAAAAATAACAAAGCGCAGATACGTGTTTATCAGTCCACTTGAAATGAAAATAGGACAATGGAAAAGATTACTTGCCTTCTGGCCCTATACCAGAGGGTAAGCCAATCCTTTACTTTCCTCGTGTCATATGTAAAACAAGTGAGGGGCAGTGTGAGGCAGGGCACAAGTTCCTGAACTTCCCGTAAAAGCCACTTAGAGAGTTTACAGGCCAGATTTAATTGTCTTTCTTCTGAAAAAACAAAACCATCTGATCTCGTAGGTGCTTACGGCCATTACGTTGTAAAAACATGTAAAAAGAGAAAGGAGAAAATAATTGAAATAAGACCTATGGAAATTTGGAAGGCTTGCACGGTGTTTTGATGGGTTCATTTCTTTTCCAAGTGTGAAACCTCTCGTTTTGTTCTACAAAATGTTTTGGGGAACTTGAAAAAAAAACTGTTTTGAGTTTCAGCTTGAAGTGTGATTTTAAAAGATTTGTGAAATGTAAAGAATTTTGTGGTTTTATTCTGTTTTCTTAAAGAGTCTGATGAAAGCATAAAAACTAATTCAGACTAATCAAATCAAAACCAACGCATCAGTGCTTCAAGCCCTACTTTTTTTTTTCTTACGAAAGCAGGTAATGACGTTACAGGCGTGCCACTCTTCCTTGGGTCCGTCCTGAAACACACCACCAACCATTGAGAGTTCCGCAGAAGGAGCAGGATGTTGTGGTGCAGAGCAAAAAGCTCTGATAAGCTTGTTCGGGAGTTTCTTGGCACTGGACCCGTAATCAGGTAAATCCTCACCACCTGGCACAAAACAGCTTAATTGCAGGTGCACGCGGAAGGAAGAAGCGCGGTCGCGATGCCGCCGCCGTAGGCTTTGGTTGGACCCAAAATGAAACATGCGCAGACTCGCTGTCTGGTTTAATGCCACAGTTAGTAAGCCTGCTACAGGAGATATGCACTGATATTAATGAGGTATAGACTGTTTTTGAACATAGAAGCGTGGGTGCTTATTGATGGAGGATACGTAGGGGCCAGAGGGTAGCCTTACCTCGGAGCTCTCGGTAAGTTAGCTACTACAGCTAAACCTAGCCTGTATGTCCTCTTATGTGAACTGGGTCGTGTTTACTTACTGATAAAGATGTGGTAATTAGTAACGCCAGGGACTTTTAAATTTTTTTTAACCCACATAATGTTTGTATTGAAGCCGCAAACATAAGTTCAGGCAGTTCAACTGAAGCTTTATCAGAGCAGATGTCGGTGGAGGTTTTCTTTGATGTGATCGAGTCTCGTCGTGTCCTCGTTTACTCCAGATTAGCTAATTTGATGTCGGGTTAGTAGATCAGAGTGGAATTGTTGTGCCCGTTTTGTCTGTGCTGTCTGAGAGGATAACATTTTACAAATTCTAAATATATTTATATACTCAAATGCTAGGACGACTTATACCAGTGTGGCATGTAAGAAAAAGTGGGATTGATGAATAAAAGTTTAATAAAAAACAGTTTGTAAGAATAAACTTTATGACAGAGCTGATGTTTAATTATATTTCACAGCTTTAGTCTGTAAAGTGTTTGGTGGTATATTAGAGAATTAATATTCATTTTTGGCTTGAACCTTTATCATATTTTGTTTCAAATCCGAGCTGATCGCTTTTATTGGGTGCCAAAAATTTAGTGATGCAAGATATGGTGGCCAAAAAACAACAAAACACACACACCTCCATCATCAATACAACTATCAGTCTATATATGTTTAAATGTTACTCTCATGCCTATCCTTTCTGTCCTATTTTTATGAATCCTCCCCCCATGTCTGATCCCTTGCTGTGTTTTGTTGATAGGAATATGTTGTTGTCGTTGTTGTTTTTAGAAACAAGATGATAAAGAACTGGGGCGTCATTGGTGGGATAGCTGCTGCGATTGCAGCTGGAGTATATGTTTTGTGGGGTCCAATCACAGAGCGAAAGAAAAGAAAGAGAGGTAAGAGCTGTTGTGACCGTGTGGCGCACACATTATATTTATGGCACTGTTTACATTGCAGCAAACTACAGTGACTCGTGGTTCCCTGCAGGTATGGCACCAGGTCTTTTAAACTTGGGGAACACCTGCTTTCTGAACTCGTTACTTCAGGGCTTAGCAGCATGTCCGTCATTCATCAGGTGGCTGGAGAAGTTTGCAGCTCTGCCTTCAATCCAGTCCTGCAAAGACAACCAGCTATCCACGACACTGCTCCAGCTTCTCAAAGGTACATAAAACCAGTGTGTCATATAAGCACAGTGTACTGGACATGCTGAGTTCCTCTGAAATGTTCACATGGAGGTTGTTTCTGCACTGACAGCGCTATCCAGTGAAGAGCCAGGTGAGGATGATGTTCTTGATGCTGGATGTCTCCTGGATGTCCTCAGACTGTACAGATGGCACATCAGCTCATTTGAAGAGCAGGTCAGTCGGTATTATTGCTGATATTGTTTTTATTTCAAATGAATAGTGCAGTGCACTAGTACTTTTCCTCATTGACCCAATCTCACACACATTCAGCAACTTAATCTGCCTCCAGGCTTTTTTTTTTTTTTTTAACACACATTCACATACACTGTCACTCTTGGGGGCAACTCAGCGTTCATTATCTTCTTCTAGGATATGTCTGGAGGAGCAGTGGATCGATCCACCAGCTTTAGATTTGTATACAATTTGCTCGTCCACCTCATAACCGTTGTTTGTGTTGGTTCATCCCTTCTTAGGATGCACATGAGCTGTTTCATGTCCTTACATCTTCTCTGGAAGAGGAGCGAGATCGTCAGCCCAAAGTCACAAATCTGTTTGATATGCACTCCCTTGAGGTAATTCATTTTTCTCGCCATTTCTCTTGCATGTTGCATCCATTCCAATACACTCTGTAGAGTCTTCTAGAACAATGAAGCACAATTGTAATCTGGAGTTTGTAGGCCATAATAATCCAAAGATTGCCTCCTACACTCTAAAAATCTCAGTCGGTCTCTGTGCTGTTGAAGTATCAGAAATATGTGTCTAGTTATTCTTTGTGTGTGTGCTTATTTTATACCAGAGTCTCCCAGATCAAGATGAGAAAACTATGACATGCAGAAGTCGAGGTGAGAAGGAGTAGAAATCATAGAACCTAGATGATAAAACAAAGTTGTATTTCATTTGAGTGAAATTCTCATTTGGCAGCTCCCCTTCATCCAATACCAAGTCCGTGGAAGTTTCAGCATCCGTTTCATGGCCGGTTAACAAGCAACATGTTCTGCAAGCGCTGCGAGCTACAGGTGAGTTTTTTGTTTTGTCTTTTTGAGGGGAAAAAAAAAAAAGGAAAATTACTGTTTGTCTTCTTTCAGGATGTGATTTTATACCTCTGCTTTGCATTTTTAGAGTCCAGTGCGGTACGACTCGTTTGATAGTCTTTCCCTGTCCATTCCTTTACCTCAGTGGGTAAGTGAAAATGTATCTTGTGCTGTGTACACAACAGTATATTTCATGGTTGTTCTGTTTGTTATAATATGACTTGTGCTTGTTCTCAGGGGCGGCCAATCTCTCTAGATCAGTGTCTTCAGCACTTTATCTCTTCGGAAACCATCAAAGAAGTGGAGTGTGAAAACTGCACCAAGGTACACTCACTTCCATATCAGTGCCAAGCTATACTGTGGCAATCCTCTCATTAAATGATTTACTCAGTGAAAGATTTGAAGTAGGGAGGTCGCCTGAAGAGGAACAAAAGGTCCAGTTGTTTCTTTCACAGGTGTATTTTTTGCTGATTTTATGTATAAATTTTAAGTTTTTCATCATTTTTCCTCAGCTTCAACAAGCAACCACAATAAATGGACCAGTTGTAGAAAGCCAAAGGACAACATTTGTTAAACAGCTAAAACTGGGGAAGGTAAGTAGTCTCTTTTGGTTAAGCATTAATAACCCAATTATTTATTTTCCTTTTAGGAACTCTGTACATGGCAAATGCTAGTACTTATCCAGCTTGAGGTTGAAGGGTAAATGATTGGCAGTCTTTGTTAGCTCCCCCAGTGCCTTTGCATCCATTTGCAAAGATTGACGTGGTCGAGTGAAGGAACCCCCATCAAACGACAGGAGCATGTGCAGTTTGCAGAGTATCTATCAATGGACCATTACAAACACAACACTTCCACACAGAGGAGTCAGCGGCTCAGATGCACTGCAAAATCCATAAAGGCTGAAAGCAGAGATGATTCGGTAGAAAAACCCTCTGCCAATGGCTCCGGTATGTTGGAGTTCTTGCATCTGTAGTATTATTATTATTATTATTCAGTTTATTAGATTCATGCATTTATTGTATTTCGTGTTTCAGATTCAGAGCATCATAACAACAACAAACCTTTTTCTAATGGAACTTGTTCATCGGTCCTCCTTCACACTTCTGGTGTGAACCCACAGCTCAGCCTCGCATATGACTACAGGTAATCAATAAGGAACTCAAATATATCAGGGTATTCAGTGGTGATCTGGTAATTGAAATCCCTTTTTCCGCATTGGCAGAATTAGCAGATATCAATGTGTCTACAGATTTTTATTTTTTTCTAGTAGAGCTAAAACCAACACATATGGACAAAAGTACTGGGCCACCTACACATTACACCCACAGGAGCTGCTCAGCTGTGGAAACTCCTACCATGAAGCTCCCGGCAAACAGTTTTTGTGCTGATGTTAATGCCAGTGGAGGTTTGGAGCTGCCACTATGGATTACATTTACACAGTATGCACTTTGCTGACTGACTCTGCTCTGTAATTTTATGTGGTCTGTCACTTTGTGGCTGTGTAGCTGTTCTTGAACACGTCCACTTTGCAATAATACCACTTTTGGTAGAATATCTAGAAGAAGTTTCACAAACTGACCTGTTGCAACAGCAGCATCCTATTACAGCTCTACCCTCGAGTTCAATGAGCTCTTTAGAACAACCCGTTCTTTCCCAAATGTTTGTAAAGGCAAACTGCATTGCTAGGTGATGGATGTTTGTAAATCTATGGCAATGGGATGGCAAACAGTTCAAAGATTAAGCGTAGTGGCCCAACACTTTTGTCCCTATAGCGTGTATTAAACTTAACAAGCCTTTCTACTGAAAGCTAAACTATCACGAAGCTGAAGTTTCATTGTTTAAACGCCAAGTAGGCTACCCAAAGGAAATCTACAGCTTCGTCTTAGACCTATTTTTGCTCTCATACACCTACACTAAGTAGTATACAAGAAGAACCCAGTATCCCTTTATTATGTTTAAACAACATCGATACCATTACCAGCATTTCTATTTAATAACATTCAAAGCAATAACTTTCATTGTTTCTGACATCCATTGTCTGTCACAACCTTATTAACGAACGGTGCGTTGAAAATGAACCGAAACAAAGACTGCATCCAAAAAGCGTGCATGCAGATTGTTCCACACAGGGTCTAAGCGAGGACTGATCATAAACCACATGTAATTGTCCCGTTCCTTCCAGTTCTACAGAGTACCTTTTCCAGCTCACGGCGGTGCTGGTTCACCACGGTGACATGCACTCAGGACATTTCGTCACCTACCGCCGCAGTCCCTCCTCATCTCGCAGCTCTTCGCCCTTCAGCTGCCAGTGGCTGTGGATGTCAGACGATTCGGTACGCAAAGCCAGCCTGCACGAGGTGCTGTCTTCCAACGCTTACATGCTCTTTTACGAGAGAGTTCGAAGGCTTGGCCTCTCTCTGCAGTCAGAGCAGTAACCAAAGGCTCGCAGCCTGAATGACTTCTGCCTTTCCAGTCACACTGTCACACTCGATGTGGCAGGGGACAGCACGGTTACCAACAGGTGGCTTTGTGAACATGACACCAGAGAAGAAAGCCATCCTAGAGTTGTCCTAGGGTGTAGTGTGATGTGTTGTGGACACCTTGCCTGCTGCTCTGCTCCAGAGGAGGAGCCTTTTAATCCCAAAGATAATAAAACTGCAGGATTTTTGTGTTAGCGTTTATCGGTAAGCTACTTTTTCTTTGACATGTAATAATTTATGTAACACCTCGACTTCTACCAGATAAAGAAAGAGGAACATTAAACGCTGCATCGGCCACAACATCAAAAACCACTGACAAGCAAAATGAGTAATGGTTGTCATCACTGGTGCAGTGATCTGCTGCAAAACCTATGGGTCATGGTATATGGATGCTACTTTGGTACACTCCACCCACCTAAAGACTGTTGCATCCCAAGCAATGGCACTCTGTGGCAGTATCCTCCACCAGCAGCATATTTACCCCAAACCCCACCACCTCGTGTGAGTGTGAGTGAGAGAGAGAGACTGACTTGAATGTAAAGTGGTTTGAGTAGTCAGTAGGACTAGAAAAGCTCTAAATAAATGCAGTCCATTTACCATATTCCCAGCTTCCAAATTCCCCAAATCCTGATCTGATGGAGAGGCTTCATCCTGCAAGCAAGCAGATTAAACAAATGCCAAAATGATTTTGGTGACACCACAATATTAGACTGGTGGTTTTACTGTTGTGGCTTATTGGTGCAGTCTATGCCAAGATAATAACCCTACAAACTGCGGTTCACATTGAAAGCGTACAGTGTTTAGGCTGGCTCAAAAGTTGGCTAGAGGTGTGGTTTCTGGTGTTTAAATGTGAATACACCCTAGGCTGCTTCAAGGTGTTCCTATTATTTTGTCCATTGCCTTCAAGTGGCTCATTAGGACTTGTCAGTGATTATATTTAGGAGCTGTTGCATATTCTGTAAAGTCACAAAGGTGGAATTATCCTTGACTCCGGTTCTCTTTGTCAGATGTAGTTTGCCTAATCCTTCTCAGCAGTGTATGTAAACCCAGAGCAGTAATAATGTTTCTATTGACACGGTTTCTGTTTGATTATTTTTGCTGTTTCTAGTGAACCTAACTCTATCACGATTTATAAAACTGCACGTTTGTGGTTTAAGTGCCATATTGTCTTAAATGCCTGAGATTTTAAACACTTGGAATCATGAGTGCTACAATTAATGTGAACGGGGCCCTTCCTTGAAATGTGACACATCACAGCCAGTTGACATGCTGTGGGTGTTTTTAAACGGGTTAATAAGAGACGTGCCCTTAGTTAACATGACTGCACATTTCTGTAGTCATCCTGTTTGTTTATAATTAATGTGTAACTTTTGACCAACAAGGTCAAAATGAGCAGTGATCTGTTGCAAAACTGCTTAATTTTTGCAGTTTGCACTACTGTATATTCATGTGAGATTGTATTTGTGTGCAGTCTGTAAGGTGATCGTTTTCAGGTATTAAAAGCATTAACAATGGTCTTTAGAGTGTTTTATTAAAGCAAGAACATTTTTTGGTACGTTTAAGAGATTGTTATGTTAACTACCCCATTATTTAAGTGTCTTTGAATGAAATACAGTTAATTTGAAAACTGCTCAATTTGCAAGAGGTTTAAAAGTATACTTGTTACTGGTATACCAAAGGCAGCAAATCTTTTATCTGATCAAATGTTCACCCTAATCAAACTGCTGATCTACTTGGGCCTTTCCCACACAATCATCTCTGAGGTTTACAGAGTGTGGTCTGAAAAGGAAAATAACCAGTGAGCTGCAGTTCTAAGTGCCAGAGTCAGAGAAGACTGTCCAGACTTCCTCCAGCTGATCTGAAAGCAACCGTAACTCAACCACTTGTTACAACCAAGGCATGCAGAAGAGCATCTCTGAATGCTGGAACTGCAAAGCAGATGGGCTACAGCAGCAGGAGACCACACTGGGTGCTAGTCCTTTCAGCTAACAATAGAAAATTGAGGCTACAATTGGTATAGTCTTACCAAAATTTGCCATCTAATGATTGTGGCAGCAATCTAATAGAGCACCTTTGGGATGTGGGGGCAAACAGAAAATTTGCATCATGAATCTAAAACAACTATAGGATGCTAACATGGACCAAAATACCTGGGGACTACTCTGAAGGTAAAAGGGGTCCAACCTAATAAATTGGCGAGTGTATATAACCTTGGAATCTGACAACTCTGGAACATAAAAAAAGCTCCTGTATCAACAAATATTTCCATATCCAGGGAACAAACTGATGCTGAAGTCATGCACCCTCCTCTCATACCCATTTAAGCCCATTAAAGAGAAGTCTGATTAAAGCAGTCTACATTTGGACCAACCTGACAATCCACTAAGAGGTACATTTTCATTGTTTACATGCCTTTCCTTTAAATGCAACCCAGCGACCTTTTACTTTCCAGAGCTGCTAGAGTACAGCAGCAGCAGTCCAATCAATGAGAACTAACAAGCTCACAAGTCAACTGTTTACATTTATTGATCTGAAGTCTTTGCCTTCTTTTCGAACAGAAACATGAATATGAGTTGAGCAAAGTTAAATGCTGATTCACTGAAAAAAATTAAGACAGTCTTCCTCCAGAGTGTCAAGTTGCTTAAATTGGAGCTGTGCTGTTAGTGGCTGTGCACATGGCCATGTCCCTAACTTACACCCGGCTTTGCCTTGGTCTCACGCTTGCTGTCCAGCAGAATGCGCCTGAATGTGAGGTTAATGCGAGGCAGGAGGATCTTCTTGCGGACAGGGAGGCTGTGGTACCAGAAGGTGTTGGTCGGCGGGTTCATGAGGAGCAGGCTTCCGTGAGCGAGCTCCAGCTTCACAGGTTCAATTTGTCGGCGGCTCTGCTTTCCTCGCGAGTCTCTGTGTTTGAAGAAGAAGTCCCGCGCTGCTCCCAGAGAGACCGACGCGATGGGACAGCCGGGGTCCAGCTCCTTCTCGTCGTCACGGTGCTCGCCCATGTGATCTTGCCCATCTTTGTACCTGATGGAGAAAAGTGTGTTGATCAGTAAAACCTCCAAATCTCAAAACTGTGACATTTACAGCTTGCATCAGTCATTTCTCACCTGTTGACCAAGACAAAGTTGAATGTCTGTCCTGTCGTTTTAGTGACAGTGTCTCGAATGTATTCCAAAGTTGTAGTCCATGGGCAGGCTATACGCCTCACCCCAGAATAAGTGTACGTTAGGCCTGCGTCTCCATACGTGGCCTGCTTTCTCGGTATGTTGTACACCTTTCCATACACCTGGACCTTTGACTCTTCACCTGGAACAAGCGCAACAGTTAAAATGCACTGCAACTTCTGCTCATAACTTTAAAGAAAACAGGGTTGATGTACCTGTTGCATACACCACCTCCTCCTCCAGCTGTGTAAAAAGGCAGTCTGCCTCCTCTTTAGAGAAAAGCAGTGCATAATCACAGTCTAGTCCCTCTGCTTCTATTTTTTGCCAGGGAACAGCATTGGAGAACTCTGCAAAGGCTGCATCCTCATCATCTTCAGAGTCTTCCTCCTTTATTTTCTCGTCTCTTTCCTGTTTAATCTTTTTTCTCGGACTTCCTGCTGGAGTGTCACTGGTGCAGCGACGTTTGTTCCGATCCTGAATCACAAACTTTTCCATTGGTGGATTTTTAATACCTGAGTGATGGAAAGAGGAAACATTAGCATTCCTCAAAGATGTTGGTCCATATTAACACGACAGCATCACACAGTTGCTGCAGTCTGGTGCACATCCATGATATGAATCTCCTGTTCCAACACATTCCAAACGTGCTCTACTAGATTCAAATCTGATGACTGTAGAGACCATTTGAGTACAGTGAACTCATTGGCATGTTCAAGAAACCAGTTTGAGATTATCTTAGTTTTGTGGCATGGTGTGTTATCCTGCTTGAACCAGGCATCAGAAGATAGATTCACTGTTGGGACAGACATGGTCAGCAAAGCTGTGGGGTTTAAACAATGCTCAGTTAGTAGTAAGTGTGCCTGTGAGTGTACTAAGAAAATATCCTCCACAGCATTACACCACCTGCAGCCTGGACCTTTGATACAAAGCAGGACTGATCATTGCTTTCATGCTCTTTACTCCATATTCTGACCCTACCATCTGAATGTTGCAGCAGAAATCCATACTTATCAGACCAGGCAGCGTTTTTCTAATGTTCTAATGATCTTTATCCAATTTTGGTGGCCACTGCATCCTCGCTTGCTGTAGCCCTTTTGCGTCAAGCTTCAGCTGTTGTGAGCAAGTGTTTATTTGACTTCCTGTAGCCTTCCTATGAGCTGGAAGTAGTCTGGTCATTGTCTTCTGACATCAACAAGGCATTCTCGTCCACTGAGCTTCTGCTCACTGGATATTTTTCTTTTCTTCAGACCATCCTCTGTAAACACTAAAGATGGGTGTGTGGTCAAATCCCAGCAAACCAGCAGTTTCTGAAATACTCAGAACAGCCTGTCTGTCACCAAAAACCATGCCACGTTCACCTTTCCCCCACTATGGTGCTCAGTTTGGACTTCAACAGGTCTTCCTCGCTATGTCTGCATTTCTAAATGCACTAAAATTCTATTATGTGACGCAACTGGCCGACCTGCATTATGGGCAGTTGACCCGGTATACCTAACAAAGTGGCCGGTGAGTGCATGTTTAGTTTACCGGAAAGAAGAACAGCAGAAAATATGCTCAGTTATTTTGCATGAAAAATGACTCAAAACTGATTTAAATATGAGGCTTTCTGGTCATCATTACGTGGACGTTTTGTTTCGTTCAACAAACACCTTAAATAACAACAACAAAAAAATCCCTAAAAACGTCAGACAGACACTTTTTTTATTCATGTAAATAGACGCTTATCCTTATGCTAGGTGCTGCACGCTTACTTTTAACAACATAAAACGCCAAACAGTAGTGTGTCTTGAACACCCCTCAGCTCATTAACATATCTCTGTGCCGTCACTGTTTAGGCGCCAAATGTGTTATTCCCACTTGGGGAGATTTGGGTTTCGGAGCAGCAGACTGCTGTTTTATTCTCATTCCGGGTATTTTTTTTTAAACTCTCTTGGTTTACAGCAGGTTACCACCGCAGTGTTTTAGACAAAATGATTGGACAGAAGACTATTAACTCATTTTTTTCGCCAGTTTCGAAGAAGAGGACTTCTACGGAGTTAATTGAATCCGAGGAGGATGCAAACGAGCCGGTGAGTGTCATTTCTTTTTTAAAACAGTTTAAATTTTAAGAGTTAAATATGTACCTTATAAGTTTTATATTAGCTTGTTGGCATGTATTTAAAAAACTTACAGTGGAGTCATGAGCGTTTCAGACACTGGGAGATTTGTAGTTTCCCGCGACGCGTTCGCGTACTCCAAGCTGCGTTCAAAGCCACCGCTGTGTTGTTGGTGTTCAGCGTGACACTCGCAGCGCGACTATGATTCCACCGCTCTGTCGACACTTTCTGAAGCCGTTTAGACCCCCGGCTGTCCGCTTCTCACCAGTTCTATGTGTTTCTCAATACATTAAAATTATCCAGAAAAAGCAGAAGGGCTGTGGGGTGGAGACGGAGCAGAGCAGCCCACGCCCTGCCCCTCTGTCCCCGGAGCAGCTGGACAAGATCGCCCGCAACAAGAAAGCGGCGCTGGAGAGACTGTCTTCCGTTCAAACACCACCAGGGTTCGGGGAGAGCTGGAGGAAGGCGCTGTCGGCTGAGTTTGGAAAGCCGTACTTCAAACAAGTGAGAAGAGGAGGAGACGGGATACTGCACACTGTGTCTCTGTTGTTTTGAACAGTTATAGTGACTTCACATCTCTCCCACAGCTGACGAGTTTTGTTTGTGAAGAGAGGAAACGCCACACAGTTTACCCACCTGCTGAACATGTATTTACCTGGACACAGATGTGTGACATCCGAGATGTAAGTGTGTAAACTGACAATCGATTGATTGATTGAGCTTCAGTGACACTGGTTGTTAGACGTAGACATAGACTTTGTTTCATCCAACAGTGGGGAAATTCACTTGTTACAGTTTTGTTTTTTTTTGTTTTTTTGGTGCTGTTATTATATTTGTAGATGTACATAAAGCGCAGTGGGAGTGATAATGATACACATGTATTTTTAGACGGTATTTATTCTGTGTGTATACTGTACAGTGCGACTGTTGTCGGGATGAAGGAACAGTCTGCTGCTCGAGAAGCTGCTCAGGGCCTCCACAGTCTTATGCACGGGGTGTGAGGTGTTGTCCATAATCGACATTAGTTTGGCTAACGTCCTCGTCTCACCCACTTCCTCTATGGGGTTTAGGGGACTATGCAGGACCGAGCCAACCCTCTCTGCGCTGCCATCTCCCCCAGCAGACAACTGCATAAAAAAAAAATTTCCTGTGTGATGTATTATCTGAGGTGTCCTTTACTCTGTCACAGTCGCCTAACCCAAACGTGTGTCTACAATTCCAGGTAAAAGTGGTGATCCTTGGCCAGGATCCATATCACGGTCCTAACCAAGCTCATGGATTGTGCTTCAGTGTGAAGAGACCAGTGCCTCCTCCCCCCAGGTTTGAAGCCCTTCACTACCTCTGATGGGGGAAAAACACATATAAATGGCTTTCTTCATGCAATTTCTTCTTTCTTCTTCTGTGAATGAATAACTTTCATACCTGCTTGTTCCCTGTGTTGGAAATTTGTGAGTTAATTGAAATCAGTGCTGTTGAGTCAGATCCTTTTCATTTCCAGCTTGGAGAACATGTTCAAAGAGCTGAGCTCTGACATCAAAGGCTTCCAGCACCCGGGACATGGAGATCTGACTGGATGGGCCCAACAAGGTACTTGAAAAAAAACAAAACAAAAAAACCCATTTTGTTAAATGTTTAATCATAGTTCCACAATAAGAGAGCTGCAACAAACCTGCTCTCCTCCTCCTTTTTTTTTTTTTACCTTGCTCACCAGGAGTGCTGTTGCTCAACGCTGTGCTGACTGTCCGAGCGCACCAGGCCAACTCCCACAAAGACCGAGGCTGGGAGGCATTCACTGACGTTGTGGTGCAGTGGCTCAGCAAAAACCTGGAGGGCCTCATCTTCATGCTGTGGGGATCATATGCTCAGAAGAAAGGAGCTGCTATAGACAGGGTTAGTTGTTTTTAATTCAGGCTCATTCAGCTTAAGCTTTATAATGTGTTTTCATACTAAGTTTTCTCTCTGTGTGTTTATAGAAACGTCACCACGTCTTGCAGGCTGTTCATCCATCTCCCCTGTCTGCTCATCGGGGGTTTTTTGGGTGCAGACACTTCTCAAAGGCCAACGAGCTGCTACAAAAATCTGGAAAGTCTCCCATTGACTGGAAAGCACTTTGAATTCTAGTTTTCTAGCGTGTGTTCAACTACAGACCAAAACACCCATAAGCTTTCCTGCAACCTGTTTTTGCATCTTCTTAGTATTGGCAGCTTTTTCTGTATAGTTTTTTTGAAAGCCTTTTGGCTAAAGCTTAATGTTGAACTGCATATCTTTGTATGCACATAACAGTTTCCATGTTGTAAATATGTTTTGTACACTATTGCTCTTTTTAGGTTAAACAATAAAGTTCCTTTTTTGTTCTTACTTTTTTACATAAATGTTGGGTTAATTAAAGTGATTCCAAAAGGCAGATATAGTGTTTTAATGCCAGGCATGTTGACTACCTCTGACATCTGTAACACTGAGTTCTGTTAGGGTCTGCTGTTGAATAAGGGTAGTTTTTTTTCTCTCACAGTAATTTAAAGTAGTTCATAGTTTTGTAAACTATTAACTTGAAAAATAATCTGAGGGACCAACTAAAACTATTTTCTCCTAAATGGGGTGTAAGTAGAAGTATAAAGTAGCATACATCAACTATAAATCAACATTGTGCTTTCATACTTAGATGGATACATTTTTGGGTTTAACCTAGGCTAAAAAAACAAACTGCTTTTAAACTTTAACATAAAGTAGTCAGAGTCATTGTAATGTTCTTGTTACAGGTTAGCAGTGTCTAATATAACCAAAAATTATATGAGATAAATGTTTATAATATCTGTTGTACATTTATAGGTCTACTCCGATCTATAAACCTGTAAGGCACATGTGAAGGTTGTAGACTGGAAAACTGAGATATGCTGTGGAAACTGAATACTTTTTTAAGAAGAAACATTTTTTAAATTTCTTGATTCATGCTCAATCACCTTGTTGTGAGGGGCCCATGCTAACTAGTGCTGACCAAAAGAGGTCACATTGCAGATTAATTTAATAATTTTCTTTCTAATAATAATAATCATAGGAAGAAGAAAGTATATAGTTTCCCTTGCTGTGTATTTATTCACCACTCTGCATTTAATAATCAGTTATTAATAATCTCGGGGCCCAACCAGTCACGGCTAATGTCCGTCCCTCTATGAGCCTGGTTATGCTGAAGGTTTCTTTCTGTTAAAAGGTAGTTTTTCTTTCTTTCTTTTATTTTATGTTCTTCAAGTTTATGGAACATTTATGCAACATACACCAAAAAAAATACAGACCTTAACTAATTTAATTACATGTACATTTCCCATCTAGCATACACGCAATTTAAAATATTAAATCTGGTCGAATGAAATGTACTTGATTGATATATATTTAGTTTATACCAAGGGTGATTAATTATTTACTAAATAAACATTTTATTTTACGTATTTCAACTGCATTTTACTCAAAATTATTGCTTAATGGTGGATGGTGAAATTAAGGTGAATTTTTTTTTCTTTTCTTTCTTTTTCATGCTCGTTTCCGAACTGTTTCGGATGTAGACGTCAATGCATGGCGCCACCAGTGACGCAATGACGTCGACAGGAAGAGAGGCGGTAGTGGTAGTAATATTCACACAGGTAGAAAACTGAGAATGCCCGTGCAGAGCCGCTCCGTGCGGGACTCCTCCGTACATTTCAGGTTACTCCAGCAGTACCTGGTCCTCCTGAAGAAATACCCCATCCTGACTAAATCTGTAACCAGGTCAGTACACGTCGCGTTTCTGCACTTTGACAGTGTTGCAAGTTAGAAGCTCCCATTTACTGACAGCCAAACCACTGTACTGTAGTCAGGTTTCTTGGGACGTTTATTACACTGTAACTAAGAAAAGTGTTTTTATCAGTGTTTTGTTTCCTGCTCGTCTTCAGGTTCTTTAAGACTTTGTTTGCATTGAACGCACACTCATTTTGTCACAGCACTGCTTTTAGCCAATCAGCATCTGTCCTGAAAACCTCCCCCACTAAGTCTTTTGCAAGTGGACTATTGATACTTATTGACAGTTGTGTGTGTGTCCTTTGTATTTTCAGTGGCATCCTCTCTGCTTTAGGAAACCTTCTGTCTCAGTTTGTGGAGGCGAGAAAAAAAGCCCAGAAGGGAGCTCCTGTCAGTAATATCGATGCAGCTGGAGCTGCACGCTACACCATTTATGGGTGAGATCCAGTAAAGAAAGCAGACTGAGCACTGACTTGTTTTAAGGCTGCAGGTCTGTGATTGTGATGTTGTTCCAGTTAGACTCTGATAAAACTAATCGAACACTGTCGAATGTTATTGGTGTCTGTGATAACACAGTTATGTGATAACATTTAGATGTTCTTCTGCTATTCATATTTGCCCTTGTTGTGTGTTTCAGGTTGCTTATTACAGGACCCGTGAGCCACTTGTTTTACCAGCTGATGGAAGTATGGATTCCCACCACAGATCGGTTTTGTGTAGTCAAACGTCTGCTGCTGGACCGGCTTATTTTTGCCCCGGGCTTTCTGCTCCTTTTCTACTTTGTAATGAACATCCTGGAGGTGGGTCATCTCAGACACCATTGCTTTCAAATTAGCTCAGTATAGAGGGACACCTGCTCTCTAATGCAAAAAAAAGTCATGTCAAAACTGAGGCAGCAGAGGCCCTCACCTCATTTAATTATTTCTTAATTTATCAAAACAGCTCACACAACTTAGGAGTCCAGTTTTGCTTTTTCATTGCACTGGAATGGTGTTTAAGCGTAGTTGTTGTGGTTCAATGAACAACAATTTTTTGTTGTTCATTATACACACCATTGCCAGTATCTTAACAAGCTTTAATGCCATACATATGTCCTAACATTGGACTGGCACTATGATGTACACTCATTGGCCAATTTATTAGGGACACCTTGCTACTATTGAGCTGGATCTACTTTTGTCTTCAGAACTGTCTTGATTTTTTTTTAATGGCACAGAAGGTGCCGGAGACATTCCTCAGAGATTTTTGTCTGTAGTGACATGATGGCATCGCACAGATTCTGCAGATTTGTTGGTTGCATGTCTCCAATTCCACTGCATCCCATAGGTGCTCAATTCGATTGAGATCTGCTGATTGTGGAGGCCATTTGAGTACAGTGAACTCATTTTCATGCTCATCTGACACCAAGAACCTGGCAAAGTACCCGATTCAACCTGGACATTTACCATAGTATTAATTATCATGTCCACGATATAAAGATTTTATATATAAGCATGTAATATGACTGTAACCACTGTCCCTTAGGCTAAAGGATGGACTGATTTTGAAAAGAAGATGAGAAGAAGTTATTGGACCGCTTTGAAGATGAACTGGAAAGTTTGGACCCCTTTCCAGTTCATAAACATCAACTTTGTCCCTGTTCAGGTACACATTTCACTTCATTTCATCAGAGAATGAGTTATTTTCTGTCGCCACATGTAATTAATTTCTTCGCGCCTTCTGTTTCTGTGTACATTTCTGGTTTCAGTTCCGAGTGCTGTTTGCCAACATGATCGCCTTATTTTGGTATGCCTACCTTGCATCTGTGAGAAAATGATGCTACCAAGACGTCTCTAGAGAAAACACATCTTCAGGAAACAGTTTTGGCATATTTGTAAATGCCTTAAAACTGAGATCATACAACAGACTGTTACGTTTACTGCCATAAATCTGTGCCTAATCTGGTCACTAATTTTCACATACACAAGCGCTTGTGATTAAATTTAAAGTGGACTGAAACCATTACCACATGTTGCTGTAACATTTTAAATACTTGACTTGAAATTTATATCTTAACAGTGTAAGATCTAATAAACTATTACTTTATATGACTCATAAACATTGAGAATGACAGCCCCACCTTCCTGAGCTGACACAGGCAGAGGAAATGTGAAGAGACGTAGGCTCCTGTTGTTAACTTTATGCTTTGTAATAAGTACAGTTAACATGTATTTGTCATGACAGAATCACCAACGTGTTGATTTGTATGAGTTACTTATCTGTTGTGCCAAAAGAAAACACAGCTTTGCAAACTGGTTAATGAACCCATATTGTACGGTCTATGGGAATGTTCTTGTTTTTCCAAAATAAAAGCACTAATAAATATGATAAATGAGTTAAGTCAAGTTTATAATATTAAATAACATACATGGGTTTTCTGAACCATTTTAAAGTGTCCTCAGCCTCCTCTCAGGTGCAAAGTCATGTAGATGGTGCTGTGGTTTCTGACGTTGTAGTCCTCCAGTTTGGCACCCTGCATCTCCCGGCCTTGGTGAATGAGCCTCTGCTGGCTCGCTGGCACCCCCTCTCTTTTCTCGACTCTGTTCTTGAAGTTGCTCACAGTCTCGCCGGGTTGGATGTCGTAGGTGCTCATCTGTCCCTTTTCATTTCTGAGGAACACCTGGATGGGAGCAGGTGGAGGAGGCTCGGTGACCAGCAGGGACACCCGGGAGCAGTGCTGTAAGCCGTAGTAGCTGATGGGTTTGGAGTCGTCATTGGGATGACCGTTCAGAAAATCCAGTTTCTGCGTCTGAGGGTCGACTTCCAATTTCTCCTGGATTTTTATTTTCAGAGAGCCAACTGTGTCCTCTGGGTTCACGGTCAGAGTGTGGGACTCACCCAGCATGTTAATAGTTATATCCATGTTGGTTGTAGTCTGAAAGAATTCAAAATAGTCCATTAGAAAACACACACACTGGGGAAAAATGACTTTTCAGTTCTTTATCAGCTTCCTACCTTGTGATGACGTTTTCACTTCAAGTCTTCAAACGTGGAAACGTAAATGATGCTCGAGCAGCAGCTAAGTTGAAGGGCTCAGCCTTTATATACACTCTGCCTCAGCTGATCCACACCCTCACACTCACCTAAGGTTCGTTTTCCCTCTCTGCCATAACAACTTTCAGTTTCTATTGTCTAAGCATGACTTGGCTCTAATGCTGTAATTAAAAAGCCTTTCCTTCACAAAATCTAGACTTAAGAAAAATGCCTGCATGACCTGCAGAATCTCCTTATCATATTAGGTGTCCACAATTGTCACTTAAAGTCGAACTTTATGCTTTCTCACTTTTGAAAGTGATTACATCCTTGCATTACATACTTGAGTCTTTTGCTGATAGGTTTCTAAAAAGAAACATGCAGATTTAAAATATAACATGCAGCTTTCTATAGATGGATACATAAAAACACTTTATTTGTTACATTTATGATTAATGTATTTGAACGTAGACACAACACATTTGTGTCGGCCTTGGCTTATTAAAGTTCGTGTCTTGAACTTTGCCTGTGTGTGTTTCAGGTACTGCACTCTCAAAGACTGAATCAACCGGCATTTCAGCCATGGGTCATTGTGAGCATCACAGGGAAGGTTGAAGCCGCCCACTGCAGCTGTATGGCTGGAGTCGCGGAGAGCTGCACCCATGTCCCTGCTCTTCTGTTTAAAGTAGAAGCAACAGTGAGGATCTCTGGCACAAGGACTGTTACAGATGAACCTGCATACTGGGTTTTGCTGGGTAATATGACCAAGATACAGCCAGAGGTTGGCCATAAGATAGACTTCTCCTCTTCAGCTGCCCAAAAAAAGGCTCTCAATCAAAACATAAACAGACCATCTGTAGTGACAGGTAAAAGAAGCCGTCCTCAAAACAGAAAAATTCCACCTGCTACTGTGGAGGAGTTGGATCAACTGATGGGAAAATATTTTTCCAAGCATAGTTCTGTTCTGAATAACCCATAATGTTTTAATTTAGGGGGGCCTGTAAATAATTTGCATTTACTGATTATGTACTTACTAATTACCACTGTTCAAAAGTTGAATAAAGAAAAAATCAGGTGTTTACCTATTTTTAATTAAAACCAGTTTATAGAACATCACATCAGTTACAATGTAGAATCAGTGTCATGTATAGTTTACAAATGACAAAATGTTCACATAAAATGATGACAGCATTTATATAATATCACCCACTGCTAGCATTCTGTAATTTACTGTCTCTTTTGAAAATGTATCACTGCATATACAGCACAAGACTTTTGGGAGTATTTAACAAGAGCATTTCCCCTGGTTTTACTAACACACTGGGGCACATGTTCACCAAAACGCAGCAAACCTTTGCCATCTTATCCAGGAGGGTCACCTTTTCACCCTCACATGGAAGAAGTAATCTGATTGGCATGGTGTTAGCATGTAGTATGTATGTAGCATGTACAAAGATTTCGTAGTGCCCCATGTGTAGTGTTGGAACCCAGTCATTCATTTCATAGGCTGGTTTGCTGCAATAATGCCAAATAATTAGCAACTTTATAAATAAAGGTAGTTCTTCATGTTTGTTCTAATTTGCTATGACCTCAGAGCGCATTGAAAATAAAAAGAGTAACTTACCAGAATGAAAATACTGAAGCACACCAACAGATATCTGTGGATGGTAGAGAACTGAATATCAGCTCGTCTCACAGCCGCTATCCAGGCTAGACGCCTTCTTTTGGTAACATCCAACACATAAGCTCCCTCATGATGCTTCCAGGTGAGGAAACAATGAAAAGAGCCCATTTTCAAGCTTATTCCTTTGCCAGTAGTGCAATCTAACATTACAACCGACCACACAGCAAGCATTTGTTTGGCCTGCTAATATGGCGCCTCAACCAAAAATCCTGGCCACGCCCCATCCGGTAAGATCACGCTCCAGAGCCCTATGTACGGATCTAGAAAGAAGACGCTGCATTTTTAACTCTGAGGGAGATGGAGAATGAGCCTATTTCCAAAAAAACAAATGTGGAGTGTGTTCCTTTAAGTACTATATTGTATATATTGTCCAAAACTAAAGTGTACATAGCAGTTGTTGTATCTTGTTTACTGTATCACTGACAGATAATTTCAAAGTCAAGTGAACGCTGCATTATAGTGAGATATTGTGTAATGTGAAATACTGTAAGCAAATAAATAAACTGTCTAATCCTTGCTAAACCTTTGACTCTGTTTTTTTTAATCCAACTGTTTTGCAGATGAACATAAAACATGTTGTTACTTTTAGTATTATTATTATCATCATCATCATTGTTGCACTAAATACATTTTAAATAAAGGATACTTTGATATACATTCTACTGTAAGGTTGGAAATGTGTTTTCTTCACTCTGAAATATCTTTTGAAATGCATTTTGTTTTGAAAAAAGATATTTTCAATTTCAAAAATATCTTTTTTTGAGCATCACAAATACAACATATATTTACCATATATTTGAAATATATTTTGGCCAGGAAAAATGTATTCTTTTACCGTATGGGCGTGCTGCCCCTAGTTAAAATATTATACTCATATTCTAGGAATACACGACTATTGCAGTTTTTTTTTTTTTTTTTCTTTTTTTTGCCTGTCCCATTTGGTTGTTTAGCCGTCAGAATTGTTGTCTGAAGACCAACAAGGATACCCAATGGATTTATTTTGCCAAATGGATCATCGTGGCATTGCCGTATTGGTCCATTTGATCGACCTTTGTTTTTATTATTTATTTTATTTTATTTTCAGTTGTTACAGACGGGACAGACATAAGTGAGGGATAGGAAAGGGAGAAAGAAAGAGGAAGGAAAAGAAAAACAGAAGGGGAGAGGGACAGTGAGAAGGGGGGGGGGGGGGGGGGATGAGCTGGTACATACCTGAGCGCCCAGCCCCGGACACCAAGAACCACCAATGCACCGACCCCTGAGGGCATCAGTCACCGGCAGGGAGTGTGGTGAGGGGAGATAGGCCTTGGAGGGCCTGGGAGTTCCCAGAGAGGTGGAGTCTAAGACCCGACCTGACATATAGACACAGACAAACAGGCACACACAGACACAAACATGCATTCCCACCCTCATGCACACATATACAAACACTCAGCACTCACCCAACGTAAGGATTGACATAAATGGACATGTACACACAATCACACTCCCCAAACATACTCTATACCCCGGGTCCAGGTACCCTCGCCCCCAGAGGGGAAAACAGAACCCAGACCCAAGAGATGTTACCCTTCCCCCCGAGGTGGAGGCAAGCAGACCGTCCCAGGCTCCGCAGCAGCAGGGAGGCCAATCGGACAGCCAACATCTCCTCCCAGCCCCCCACCCGATAGCTAGCAGAGAACGGGGGTGTGTGAAGACCCCATACCTCCCTCCTCCCGCTCATGTGTAGTGTTGCTGCGTGTTGTTCTAAAGTGCATTTAAAACAAGGGAGAGCATGGTGCTGCTGCCAGAGAGCAGCAGGTGTTAGCACGGCCCCTCCCGAGAACCCTCAAGGTCTACATGGATTAAAAATTGAGAGGTGGGCACCGGCGTCAGAGGTAGGTTTGAGTACACAGACCGTCCACTGGACGCCGTTAACGTGCCCACCCTCAAGGCCCTATATATATGTGTGTGTTATGAGAGTGTAAGTAATGTGGATGTCTAAGTTGTGAGATAAAATTGAGGCACAGGTGGCCAGAAGGGGACAGAGGGGGGGGGAGGAATGTCTCCCCTGCACCCTGGTGACACACCCGCACCCCAAGGCCCTACCTGTGTGGGTGAGTGTGGTGGAGCGGGAAGAGGGAGGTAGCCGGGGATGGGGAGGAAAAGGAGGAGGGGAGGATGCCCCTCCCTAGGGCCAGCTCCCCCGCTGACCCCAGTAGGCACCCCCGTCCTTGGACTATTGCAGTTCTTAAAGCATAGACAGACAAAATGAAAGCATTTTGCTTGTTTTTTTTAAGGGGGATGGACGTTAACATAGATATTTAGCCATAACACTACAATATATTCCCCACAAATCAAAGTCCAACATTTTCTTTATTTAGTTTTAATCAGGAAGCAAAAAACAGGAGTAAAAATAATAATCTATTGCTCCTAAAACAGTAACAGTTATAATATTCATCTAGCATTGCATATAGTATTTTTACAACTGCAAGCATTGCTGGAAATGTTGCCTCACACACTCAGTTAGGTATGCTTATGTCCACATCACTATCCAGCAACATTTGTCACCAACAAATGGACACAGCTGGAAGGAAGACAGAAACATTTTTCAACCCTTTTTTCCTAGAATTCTATGATTTCTTCCAAAATCATGCTCACATTCCCACTGCTACCTGGTTTTGTAATTATATGCTTTGTTCAATTGTCACCATGTAATGTATTATGATAAAGTCAGGCACAGGCTGTTTGCAGAAGTGGTTAAAGGATAGGTTAACAAATCGTTAGAAGTACTGAACAAAGTGATGGTAATTTATATGAGAATACTGTTACAGATATATGCTGATTAATGATTAATTGATTATCTGCCATTACTACCTCCTGCCATGCAGATGAAAAACAAAACACTTTCTGTGTGATAACTGAAAGTGTTTTGTAATAACTGTCTTTCACTTACAGCACAGAGGCATATCTGACTGGAAGAACGCTGTGTACAGTGGTTGTGTGACTGGAGGAGCTATAGGCTTTTGCGGTATGTAACTTACTTTATTAACTTACATTACAGCAAATTTATGCATTTTGTCCACGTGTTTATGTTTCTGTTTTGCAGCTGGTCGGGAGGCTGGTGTTTATTCTCTGCTGCAATTAAACATGACTTGCGGTGAAGCTCTATGGAGTGGCTCGATGGACAAAAACATAAATATTACACATGTGGCCCAGAGAAAGAAGACTCGCGTTGTGAGTTTGCTAACCCTGATGTTTCCCTGCACATCAACGATTGCTGTTAAAGCAGAATTGAAGTGTACTGTTCAAACACAGGGATTTTAAGTGGCACCACAGTGGGTTAAAACAAACAAACAAACATAAAAAAAAAAGACATGTCGGTTTTTCCTGTGACTTTCATATTGTGGACAGTTAGAGCAAGGAATGCCAATTTCTCATGGTGAATCTTCAAAGACAGAGCAGAGTGGGTCTGCTTCAGTGGTGCATTCATCAGGTGATGAAAGCTGAACTTGTGTGAATTTCACTCTGGGTCTGTAAAAACTCA